ATAGGCACTGTCATTTAAAAGTATGAAATCTAGTGAGCCATACATATGTCAGTGAATTTGTATTATGTTACATGTTAGAATTAAATGAGGGAATTGCTACATAGAAGGTATAGATACTATTATTGTATGCTTTTATAGATTATGAAACACACTTAATTCAAAACCATACAGTCGGTTTCCATAATATTAATACAATCTAAGCATTCTTCATCTCCAGTGACAGTGTTACTAACTTAGCATGTTTGTTTTGGAGGATAGCTTTATCCCAAGTATAGTCAGTGGCATGGTGGCAGTTAGTGGTTGAGACATCAATATTTCCAGTTAAATTATCATTGAATAATATAGTCCCTTGAAAGTGGAAGTTGCTTATTTTTAAAAGGGTCTTTTTTTTTTTTTTTTAATGCTCCAAGTCCCCAAATTTATAGAATTGCATAGGAAAGCAAATGTTGTCACAAACCAGAAGTACTCACTGGTCAACCAACCACTTACTATATTGGTTCCCAGTATTCAGAATTCTGCTAGTACCTTTGAGTGCCTGCCTGCCTAATCCCCACTATCAGTTTCACCTTGAGGTTCTCTATGCAGCTGCTCAAGTCCTTCTATGAATGCCTCTTTGAGGCAGGATGGATTGGAAATTAGCTGTAATACCTCATTATTGAAGGAGGAGGATGTTTCCTCTTCTAGAGGTCAATTGGCATCACTGCTGTTTAAGGACTAAGAGGCATTGCTGAATCTATATGAGAATGATGTTAGGGGAGCAAAGGAGAAGAATTTTCTTGGGGTATCGAGTAGAAAAAACAAACTGCTTGCTTCTTCTCCTATACTGTCACAACACAGAACACTTCTGTGATCAAATGTGTGGGAGATTTTCCCCAAGCACCGAGCCAGCAGTTCTCCAGCTGGGTGTCCTCTAACGTAATTCAGTTCTTAGCAGTATCTACCTGGAGGTAGTGTCACAGCCCACAGGTTGAGGGCTCTGTCTCACAGGACTGCTTCCCCCCTGCCCCCCTCCCCGCCAGCACACACACACACACACACACACACAGTCTCTCTCACGTACACACACACACTCTCTCTGTCTCTCTCTCTCTCTCAAGATGCCAATTGGAAGCCCCAGGTTGTTTTTCCTGTGCTTCTGGCAGCCATAAATCAGGATTCCCACACTCCCTTCTTGGGCTCAGCTAATTTGCTAGAGTGGCTCACAGAACTTAGGGAAATACTTTACTTACATTTACCAGTTTATTATAAAGGGGATTAGGAAGGAGACAGATGAACAGCCAGATGGAAAAGATACAAAGGTCCAAGTATCGGAGAAGGGGTGAGGAGCTTCCAAATATATTCTCTCCAGGTAAGTCACCCTCCAGGAACTTCCATGTGTCCAGCCACCTGGAAGCCCATCCACACCCAGTCCTTTTGGGTTTTTTATAGAGGCTTCACTATAAAGGCGTGATTGATTTATATCATTGGCCACCCATAACCAACTTAACTGTCAGCCCGTCCCACATCCTTAGAGGTTAGGGGTTATGGCTGAAAGTCCCCACCCTCTGGTTATGCCTTGCTCTTTACTGTGACTAACCCACACCGGAAGCTATCCTTGAACCCCCAGCCATCAGTCAACTCATTAGTATGCACAATGACGCTTAGCACTTTGGAGAACCTAAGGCTATCAGAAGCTATTTGTTAGGAAATGGGAAGACTAAATATATATTTCACAATATCACAGATGTCTTTAAAGAAATGTTACTTCAGGAGTATGTAAAATTTGCTCATAAAAAAAGAGCATATTAAGTGTGTTTAGGTGGCTTCTACACTCTAGGCACTTTTTATGTATTATTAATTTAATACCCTTAACTGTGAGAAGTAGGTAGTAGGATTTTCCTGTTCACTGACTAAGGCTTAGAGAGCTGTATTGAATAGATTACTCCTGAGCCTATGTGTACACTACTATAATATTCAGCCTGGCACTTTTTTGGTTATAATTTATCCACTGTGTCTGAATTCTATTTTCCCAAAGTTACCCCACTTGAGCCTTCCTATTTCATATTTTTCTGATGTATCATAATCAGAGTTCTGAATGCTACATGCTGTAGGGGGAAAATAGTGGATAACTTTCTCCTTTATATGCTGGAATTAATTTATTTTTACTGATAATAGTATTTATTGAATATTTCCTAGATGACAAATACTGCAAAGGCACTAGACATACAATTGGAGAAAAGAACTGCAATATAGAATTAAATTTAAAGGAATAATTTATATTGCTTAGACGTGCCAGTTGTTGGAGACTTTCTGTGATATGCTCATCCCCCTCTTTTTTTTGCTTTTGGGAAAGAGGAATTTGGGATGAGGTCACAAATATATTAGTTTTAGGACCTAAGTGAGTTTGTTGGAAGGGATCAGAAGCTAGGATGAGGAGGATCTGAAAGAATGCCTTAAGGAAGGGGGGTATATGTAGGCTTGCTTTCTTATTTAACCTGTATGAAAAACCTACTTTTATGAAGCCAGCAATATAAGTACTTTAATAGTATCTTATTTAAGCTAGTTGGCTTTGCTAGCAGAACTTGATATGGATATTATCAAGTTCTTGATAGCTTTATATTTGATGTCAGTGACAAGTTAGATAAGTTCCAGTACTTTTGTGCCCTCTGCTAATTAATTAGAAGTAAAGTGAACTAGGCACTTCCTCAACAGCAGGTAAGAGGATCTAGAGTCAGAAAGATCGACCAGAAAGTAGTCTGATACAACATGAAGGACTATGTTCAGGTACCTGCAGCTGAACTCGAAAAGCCTTATGAATTTACTTCAACAAGGGAGTCAGCTACATTTCTATACTTGAGTAGGTCCAATGATTTTATTTTACTTGTGATATTTATAAGTAGAGTATTCTTATTTATTTAAAAGTCTATATAGTAATTTCTTTTGTGCTTATTATTGCCAATTATTTAAACCTTATATTGTCTTTGATATAATTTTATAAAAACCTGAAATTGTAAATTAAAAATTTCAATCTATATGCCTTCTTTATAGTGGGTTGTTTTTTATTTTTGGTAAGTGGTCAAAAAGATGTTTTTGTTTTGTGTTGACCTTCCCGAGAAACTCACGGTGATCATTTATTTCCCTATGTGACAATGCATCCCTCATCTGTTAGGCACATACATTTCTGCAATGATTTTCATTGGTCATGATTTATAGAAAGCTAAAATATTTAAAATAATTTAGAAATTTGCTGGTACTTGAGTTTAGTGTGGCAGTTACTCTTTGAAGTCATCAGGTCTGGGTTGGAATTGCAGTTCCTCAGATCCTCCCCAGCTGGGTGTTACTGGACAAAATTGGCCTCTCTAAGCTGGTCTGCTCATTTATCCAATGGAGATGATCATGACCCTCAGAGAGTTGCTAAAGGAGTGAGTGAATAATGTTGTAACATCCTTAGTACAGTGTTGCACATGTCATCTTCAGAAAGTGGTAATTGTCCCTTCTGCTACTGATATAGTTACGGTTGTGAACCGTATGTAAAATTTGTGATTTTTAAATTATGGGTTTACAACAAAGGTTTTTATGCTATTGGGAATCCTATCTTAAGGGCCCTTGATCATCATCTGCTTACCCTGATTATAATACTCTTCTTACTGCATTACTAATAATAGTTACCATTTTATTGAGTGTTTGCTTAATAAGAGCTTTATATACAATTTTATTTAATTCTCATTATTATGAAGAAGGCATTATTACATCTGTTTTTACTGATGGGGAAACTTGAGTGTAGTAAGACAACCCACCCAGCCCAGCTGGACAGAGGGAGACTGATTCGCTTCAGATCTATCTGTTCCAAACCCATGTTCTTTAACCCGTGGCTGTCCACTGGACACTTCACCATTTGCTTATCTGTCTCTCCTGGTAAACCTAAGCTTCCCAAAAGTGGGAACTGGACATTGTTTGCATTCCAAGGTTACATTTATATTTCAAGCTTTTTTAAACTAAAAGCAGTGTAGAGTGTATAACATCAGAAATGTGAAATTTAATAGCTTATTAAGAATCTTTCTTATTGAAAATAACAACATTTCCCATTCTGATAGAAAACTTGAAGCATTAGGACTTGTTTTTTAGACGTATGGCCAGTCTCTGCCATGCTAACAATTTGAATTTACTATATTTGGCTTTGCATTAGTGTTCACTAAGTACTCACTTAATCTTCTTTTCAGGTTATAAGCTTCTTTCATCATTGCAATACAGGACCTGGCTCAGTGCTTGTGTGCTTAATACATATTTGGTTTTAATTTATTTCAGTGTCAGTATTAATGTTGATCTGAAGTATTTTTAGATTATTTCAGTTGTTTGGAATTCATCAGTGAGCAAAACAATGATCCCTGCCTTCATCTGAGTTTATGTCCTGGTGAGGGTGCACAGATGAGGACCAGTAACCACAATAGAAAGTTTATTTAATGTGTTAGGTGATAAGTGCTATGGGAAAAAGAAGGTAGAGCAGGGTAAGGGTGGTCAGAGAGGCTTAGATGAAGAATTGAAGAAGGTGACAGAGTTATTACAGCTGTTAGTAGATACTTGGGCATGCCTCAGGCAGAGGGAACAGTGAGAGCTAAGATCCAAAGGAGGGGGCCTAGCTAGGTAGAATTAGCAGGGAGACCACTGTGGCTGGCGTAGAGTGGATTGCGACAGGTGGGTGGGAGTATGACGGAGTTGTGGGAAGATGACATCAGAAAGGAGGTAAAGGGGGCATGGACATTGTTTTCACTTTGTCAGATGAATTTGGCAGGACGTGTATGCATGTTAAACAAAAATTCTTAGAAGCTGCGTGTCTTTGGAGTAAGGATAAGAAATTTAACTTACTCTTCTTAATCCCTGATTACATTTGTATATCTTTATTTGTGGCAGTTTGAATTTTGTATGTTATATAGCCCGTTAATATTCAGAAACTTGAATTTCCAGGTCAGTTTACAATATTAATAATCTCTATATTTCTTGATTTTTTTTTTTTTTTTATACAGGAGTATGCTGTTGCTGTTCCGCTTTGCGTCCTCGCTACAAACGCCTGGTGGACAACATATTCCCTGAAGATCCAAAAGTAATTTGATCTACATCTACTGATCCTTCTCTTTGCTGACCCATTCTGCCCCCCGCTGACCTCCCTAAGGTTTCCCTAATTTCATTTCTCTACTTTTACCCCTACATCTCATCATTTGTACTACTTTTTTTGTACTTTTCCTTTTTTTAACTCTTAAATGACTCATGCTTGCTTGTCTAGTTTTCAGATCCTTTTAGTAGATTAGGCAGAAATCTGGAAAAATGGACAGTTGATGTTCTTTTATAGTTTATGTAGTGTCTAATTTAAGTAACACTGTCTCATTAATTTATGTTCATTAATTTATGAACCAGTACCAGATTAAACTAAGTGCTCATGATACCACTGTGAACAGAGAGAAGGTTTTCTACTCTCATTATGCACATATATAAGTAAATTGGTAATTACAATTTGTTGTGAAAAAATGTTGTACTAGACTAATGAATACGGGCTGCTACTGGAGTAGATAGGAGTGATACCCAATTTGGATTGAGAAGAAAGCCTGGAGGAGATAAAATCTAAGCTAAGATCCAAAGAATAAATAGGGATTGACCTCACAGTTTTTAGAAGAAAACTGAGAGGTAAAGAAAGATGGTTTCAGGCAGAGTTTTTCTTTTTGCTTAAGTACTATTTAATTTTTTAATAACAATTATTTTATTTGTGAAGATTACTGGTTTCAAAGCAACTGGTTGGGGTGATTTTGTTTCACATTGCCTCAACCTTTCTAAGACTTCTGTAGTCTCATGTTAAATGAATATGAACAAAAAAAAAGTTACATGACTTTTGACTTCCACAATTTGCTTTATTTTAAAATGTAACAACCTATGTAAAACTTTTGGTTATCTTAACATTAACTTAATGTTGATGTATCTTATTTTTAACCAAATCTGTTTAAACCTTCAGTTATGTAGAGGAGGTTAATCAATTAAATATTATTGACTGCCAGATGTCCTGGATAATTTGTGACATATTAAAAATCCTAAGATACAGTACCTGCCTTTAAGGACCTTTCCATGCGGTAACTGACATAAAGCAGAAACATACTAAATATGAAATTACAATGCATAAATCGTCAGTAAAATGCTGAGTAAATCAGGTGGAAAGTTTTTGCCTCTAAAGCAAGGAGGTATCACTGTGGGTTGGGAACCTCCAGGAAGCATTCACAGAGAAAATGAGATTTACTGAGCTTTGAAGGATGTATACCATCTGGAGAGGTAGACAAGATTTGTCTCTTTATTGCAAGTGAGGGGAAAGAGAAAAGACATGGGAAAGCAAGACATATATTTGAAGCCTAGAGCAAGTTATCCATCAGACTTCAAGCAAAGGTTTATATAACCTAATTTTAGAGTGTAAGGGTGGTAATCGTGTTGACCATGATTTCTCATTTGAAATTTCAGATGTTATCAGTTAGTACGCTGAATATCCAAATAATTATTTTCCTGAGAAGTCTAGGACATATGGTTACTGAAGGTAAGGTGGAGGCCAGATTTTAGAGGATTGTGAATGACAAGGAAGGCCTCTCTTTAGTCACTTTAACTCGTAGGCAGTGAGGGAGCTTTGTACACTTGATCATTGAAATGACCACAGGTAAATTAGAGAAAGAATCCTTGTTTTTGGCAAGGATTTGTATAAGATTTATTTAAATAGCAGTCTTTAAAGTTAGATTTTTAAAAAGGAAAAGATCTGCATGAACCTTGAATACGTATGGCAAACATTACTCAATTTGCCATATTTCTTATTTTTAATTTATTAAAACAAACATCTTGTGATATGTCCATAATGGGTCAGACAGTAGGTACCCAAATGCAGAAGCAAACATGTCATAGTCCCTGCCTTGAAAAAGAAATCTAGTAAGGGGGACAGATAAACAATTTCTTAAAATTAGTAGCCAGATGATCCTGGGCAAGTCCCTTGATTTCTCATCGTGTAATGGAAGTAATAAATAGTAGCAGTCTCATAATGTTCTCATGAAGACTAAATGAGTTAATGCAGCTCTTTGCTCACTGTTGCTTTCCTAATGTCTATCATAGTGCCTGGCACATTGTTGGCATTCATTTGTTTAATTAATGAAAAGATGATCTGATAAAATATAATAGTGGAGATAAGTACTGTGAGCTAAAAGAACATATAGTTGGAACATCTCACCCAAACTTGAAGCGGGGGTTGTTGGGAGGGCGCAGCACATTTTTGGAGGAAGCTAAGACCTAAAGGATGAGTAGGAATTATCCATGTGAACTGGAGAAGGGTTCCGGGGCAAAGAGATGAGTTGAGTGAAAGAAATCTTGCGCAAAAGATATGATTTGTAAACTGTGTGATTCTCTTTATGTCCGATGCATGCTGATTCATAGTGATAAAAAGCAGAGCAATGGTTGCCTGAAGAGGGAGAAGTGGCCTGCAGAGGACATGGGGAATCTTTTGTAAATGATGAAAATGTTCTGTACATGTTGAACATCCCTAATCCAAAAATCTGAAATCTGAAATGCTCTGAAATCCAAAACTTTTTGAGCACTGACATGATACTCAAAGGAAATGCTCACTGGAGCATTTTGGATTTTGAATTTTTGAATTAGGGTTATCTAAGTGGTTAAGTATCTGCAAATATTTCAAAATCTGAAAAAATAGCCAAAGTTGAAAGCACCTCTGATCCCAAGCATTTTGGATGAGGTATCCCCAACCCGTATCTTATTTTTAGCAGTGTCTTCACAGATATATACAACTGTCACATTTCCGATTATATACTGTAAGACAATGCAGTTATTTATATATGGATTATCACTCAGTGAAATTAGTAAGGGATTAAAAATATAGGAGAGACACAATTGTATTTAAATGATGATGTGGAGGAACTGATACAGAGGGAGAGGTCGAAGAACTAGGAATAAGAGAGGCTAACTGATAGAGCCAGATCATGGAACTGTGTGTGGAAGACAGCTAGAGCAGAGGCAAACCAATTCCTCATAGACAGGAAAACTAGATTCCTTCACTTCGCCTAGGGCAGGGTTTCTCAACTTAGGCTTCAGTTGACATTTTGGTCTAGATAATTACTTACTTTTGGGGGCTATTTTGTGCATTGTGAGATATTTGGAAACATCCCTGGCCTCTACCTACTAGATCCCAGTACCCACCTTCACCTATCTATGACAACCCATAATGCCTTTAGACATTGCCCTGGAGGGGCTCAGTTACCCCTGGTTAAGATCTACTGGCCTAGCAGGCATTGAGAAAGCAGGGATGTTTTGCCAGTAAATACTAATCTGATGGCTTCCACCTTCTCCGAGAAAGAGAAGAGCTCATTTGCTGTCTGAGAGAGGAGAGAGGCACAAAGTAGCAAGTTTGAGGAAAACGGAGTAGGTGCAGAATATGAGGTGGTGACTCAACTAGGAAAACAGCAAAATAGCCAAAGCACATTGAAGGACCAGTTGAAGGTGAAAACAGACATCTACACGATTTTTGTTGTAGATTCTAACATAGTTTTCCCTTTTTCTCTTCTCACCTATTCCAATATTCCTAAGCAACACTTACTTGGGTTATATATGGCCAAGAAACTTATGTGGTAATTGGAGAGAATGTAGGCACCTGTTGCACATCATCTTTTAAAAGGCAGCGACAAATGACCATTTTAGAATCCCATATCAGGGACCTGTTGTTGCTTTTTAAATGTGTTGAACAAGTATAGATTCTACAGCTCTGAATACCTTCTCGTTTATTAATTACAACAAAAACATAATGATATCACTGACTTCTGAATCATTAAAAAAGCCATATGTTGACTATCATGTAAGTAAATGAGTAAAACAAGCTTAATAAACATTTCACATTTTTAAACTGAAACAAATTTTGTTTGAAATCTTTTTACATCTATATCCCATTCCCTATATACTACAGATAATTGAGCTATGTCTCTATAAAGGAAGATGTTAAGAGTCTAATTTACTGTTTGTGCTTTGTGTAAATGGGGCATTTTAAAAAATGTTTTGAAAGTTCTACGTATCCAGCATGGTGAATATTAGCGCTAAGGAGGTTATATACAGAAGGGTTATTCATAAATATCATTTAATCCCCAATCCAAAAAGGGAAAATGTAAAGCAGGCAACACTTAAAAATATGATAAGCATGAAAATATAATCTATCTTGTTATTCTTACTATTTTTAGGATGGCCTTGTGAAAGCTGATATGGAGAAATTGACATTTTATGCAGTATCTGCTCCAGAGAAACTGGATCGAATTGGTTCTTACCTGGCAGAAAGGTTGAGCAGGGATGTTGTCAGACATCGTTCTGGGTAAGGAAACTAATGGCTGCTAAAATAGTATCTTTGGAAAATTCTTTCTAGACTTTTAAATCATTCTGTAGATTATTTTGCCGTTTAGTGCAACAAAGATAATATATAGAGGATAAAACATGTAGTATTATACAAAGAAATGTATAATACTCTGATAGATGCTGTGGCTTTTATTACTTTCCTGGTGGTCAGGTTTTGTGAGTAGACTGTGTTAGTTTACTGAGTTACCTTTAGCTTGTGACTATTGATTTTTGAGACTTTTCTAATGGGAAATAGTAGAAATTGACTCACTTAGTCTATCAGTGCAATACTGTAATTTTAAAATCAATCTCTAAATTGAAAACAAACAGAAAGATCCTGTTAACCAGATGATTTTTTTTTTTTTTTCCACACAGCTTCAGTTTTACCTCTCAGAGGAGTAATAAGAAAGAACCGTGTTAGGCTTAGATATCAAGGCCCAGGAAATTCAAGCATGCTGATTTGGCACTGTGCTAGCTACACTCCTACTGATAAATAGAAGTCTACCGTCCTACTATAGTCTCTGTGCTCGCACAAGAATAACTTTGCAATTTGGATTATAAATACTTTCTCATTCTGTCATTTTATGATCCAAGTTTTCAGGAGTATTCTGTTCTCCAAGTGATATATTAGCTTTCTGTACCTTTGCATTGTTACCACTTAGAATATTTTAGTAAGTCATGGCACACATAGCTTTATGGTTGATTGTTGAAGGAAAAGTGTCTAAAGACTGAATTTTAATTATTGTTTAGATTTACCCTTTAAAAATTGATACATGATATTTTACATATTTATGGAGTACATGTGAGTATTTGTCACATGTACAGAATGTGTAAAGATCAAGTCAGGGTATTTGGGCTATCCATCACCTCAATTTATCATTTCTGTGTGTTGGGAACATTTCAAGTCCTTTTCTAGCTACTCTGAGATATACAGTACATTGTTGCTAACTTTAGTCACCCTACTGTGCTACCGAATATTAGAACTACTTCTTTTATCTGATTTTGTAAGTTTATATTCATTAATCAAACTCTCTTCATCCCTCCACACCCCGGCCCCCCCAGCCCCACTTACATGCCCTTCCTAGCCTCTGGTGTCTGTCTGAATTTTAAGTACAAGATGTAAAATCTGATGAATTGTAAAGTAATATTTATGAGATTTTAAAAATAATGTTCTGTTGCTGATAGTGTTTTATCTACTCACATTTAGACATATAAGTAGATTATATTGGAAATTGTCACATTACCGTAATAATTATTTTGGGTCAGATACAAGTAAATATGGTTAAAAGTCGGGAAAATAGAAAATGTCCATATTTACAAAGAAAAATATACACAAAGTTAATGTTAAAGAAGCTCAGATAATTAAGGAGAAAATGGAGGAATACAGTGTATATTTTCTGTATACTTTGATAGAAGGATTATTTTATAACCAAGATATTAGTGCTGTGTGAGAATTAAGATTTTACTTAGGAGTTACTAAATTTGCATTTCTTTCTTCAGTGTATTTCAATAGAATTATTTCAGTTCTTCCAATGGAAAGCACTTAGGAGAATTAAGAAAGGTAGAAATGCTTTGACGTTCTTTTTCTCCTACATGTAGGTATGTTTTGATAGCTATGGAGGCACTGGACCAACTTCTCATGGCTTGCCATTCTCAAAGCATTAAGCCATTTGTAGAAAGCTTTCTTCATATGGTGGCAAAGCTGCTGGAATCGGGGGAACCAAAGCTTCAAGTTCTTGGAACGAATTCTGTGAGTAAAACTATTTTGTAGCTAAATTTATGCTTAATTAGCATATCTAGAATTAATTGCTTCTTAGAATGACTTTACCTGGTAAAGACGAATTCCCTGAATAGGGCATTTGAACAGTCAACACAAATTAAGATAATTAGAATACTTTGCCTCTCACTCTTTCTGCTGTTTCTTGTGAAATCTGTGGTATTAACTAATCATAATAGAATATCTGCCTGTAAATGAATGCATACCTGTCATTTTTATTTTCTCTTGGTCTTTTATTGCAACACTAACTTTGTGTCCTACATTCCTTTTGAGTTTCATGCCTTTTCATTAATTAAGGTTGTTTACATTTTTATGGCTAGTATGAATAATGCTGCTATGAAGATTTGTGTACCGGTTTTTGTGTGGATGTGTGTTTTTCATTCTCTTGGATATATACTTAGTAGTGTAATTGCTGGGTCATGTAGTAACTGTGTTTAACTGTTTCCAAAGTGGTTGCATTATTTTACATTCCCACCACTAACACGTGAGTGTTGTTTCTCCACATCCTCATCAGTACTTGTTATTGTCTATCTTTTTTTATTTTAACCATCCTAGAGGGTCTGAAGTGGTATCTCATTGTGGTTTTGATTTTCATTTCCCTAATGACTAATGGTAAAACTTTGCATGTGCTCATTGACTCTTGGGTATATTTTCTTTGGAGAAATGTCTATTCAAATCCTTTCCCTCCTTTTTTCAATCGTCTTTTTATTGTTGAGTTGTAAAAGTTCTTTATATATTCTTGGTAAGAGTTATTTATCAGATACATAATTTGCAGATATCTTCTCCAATTCTATGGTTTTGTCTTTTCACTTTCTTCATGGTATGCTTTGAGTCACTAAAGTTTTGATTTTGTTGAAGTCCAATTGCTTTTTTTTTTTCCTTTTGTTGTTGGTGTGCGTGGGTGTGTATGTGTGTTGGGGGGGTGGTGGACAGGTATGCTTTCAGTTTCATATCTAAGAAACTATTGCCTAATCCAAAATCACAAAGGTTTACTCCTATAGTTTCTTCTAAAGAGTTTTACAGTTTAGGTTTGTATTTAATAATCCATTTTGAGTTAGCTTTTGTATGTGGTATGAATTCAGCATTCAGCTTTATCCACATTTTGCGTGTGGATATTTAACTATGCCATTACTATCCATTGAAAAGGCTATTCTTTTCCTTTGAATGGTCTTGAATGGTCTTTGAATGGTCTTAAAAATAAATTTACCATAGAAGTTAAGGTTTTGTATGTTTATTCTTTTTTAGACTGCTTCTGAACTATTTCTGCTCGCCGCATTCATTTTCTTCTATCTTGAACCATTGTCCCTTAAAATAAGTTTGGGGAAAGCATACCTACTTTAAAAAGAAAATACAGTGGTAATATTTATTCTCTTGTCTTTAGTTTCATTGTATCACCTTCAGTCTTTCAGTTCCAACTTCTTCTCTGAGAAGCTTTAAGGCGTTCAACCTACATGAATACTGTATGTTTCCATTCAGAGTTTTAATTAAAAAAATAACAGAATCATATATTACCTGCTACTGTTTATGGATAATTATTTTCTGGTATAGGACAGGAAGAGGAAGTATACAAGGTGCTGACAGTACGGATTCCAGAGTCTGACCACCCCAGTTTGAACTACGCCTGTACCGCTTTCTAACTGTATACCTTGAGCAAGTTATTTATTCTCTCTTTACCTCAGTTTTTCATCTGTGAAATGAGGATAATGAGAATACCAATCTCACAGGATTGTTGTGTGACATGAGTTGATATATATTAAGCTCTTGAAAGAGTGCATAGCACTGTTAGTTATTACTGGTAGCAAGAGCATTAAATGAGCCCTCATTCAAAACTCTTAATATGATTTTTTTCACTTACTTCAGCAGGAATATATTGGGTATTTCCAAATGCATTTAGATGATGTGACAAGCTTAGTTTCAGGCAAGGTGGCTACTTAGGCTTCTCCTGTTTTGTTTACATTAGGTGAGGAACGTTTTGGGGAAGTGGCTTACTAGCTAGGGGGAGAATTTTAGTATACATTTCCAGAAATGTCTTTACTTTCACCCAGCAATGCCATTAGATTGTTTTAATGAGTCGTTTGGGCAAAAGACCAAATTCCCCAGTTACTTACCTTAATTTGAGTGAATTTTATTAAATGAAATGCCATATTATCTTGACCAACATTAATTACCTAGTATTTATTGGTGGTCTAATTTTCTTAGTGGTGCTGAGTGCCTTATGTTGTCGAGCACGACCAGTACTAATTTAAAATTTATTAATGGTCTTCCTACAGTTTAATTTGTTGACATTTTCCTCTTCATGCTAATGCCAACTCAATATGACAGTAATAGATGCAATGTATTTCGGTTCTCCTTTGTTTCAAAAACTGTGCTAGATACTTTTTGTTTTTACCTCTTTTTTTATTGTAAACTGTTTCAAATATAGAAAAGTGTGGAGCATAATATAGTACAGCTGTATACCTACTGATTCAAGAAAGAAAAATGTTAAATAATATCAATAAATAACATATAATTTTTGTTATGAATAATAATATTGGTAATACATGTTAATGCCATGCAACATTGGTTCATGTTTTTAAAGAAATAATATAGTATATGCTAGATATTTTACATATATTAATTATGTCATGATTCTCGAAAACCCTTCAAACTTAGAAATACTATTTTCATTTTATAGATGAGGGATTACAGCTAAATAACTTGTCCAAAGACACAGTGAAGTAATGCTGTATATAATAGGGGGATTCAATCTTAGGCCTTTCTTACTTCAAAGCTTGTGTTCTTTGTGCAATGATAAATACATTGTCATTATTATGTATTAAGATTTAGGGAAAGCATAGATTACGTTTCTTCTTTTTTCTTCCTCTTGTTTTCTAAAAGTTTATTATTAAAAAGTTTCTTTTGGATTGGGTGCAGTGGTTCATGCCTTTAATCAGGGTGCTTTGAGAGGCCAAGGCAGGAGGATCATTTGAGGCCAGGAGTTCAAGAGCAGCCTGGGCAACACAGCGAAACCCCCATTGTTAAAAAAATAAAATTAAATCAAAAAATTAGACAGGTTTGGTGGTGCATGCCTGTAGTCCTGACGCCGTGGGAGGCTGAGGTGGGAGGATTACTTGAGCCTAGGAATTCAAGGCTCACCACTGCACTGCAGCCTGGGCAACAGAGCAAGACCCTATCTCAAGAAAAGAAAGTTTCTTCTGTATTAATGTCATATTTGATATTTTGTTTGTTTCTTATTTTTATATTGCTTGTTAATATGACGGTGTATGAAATTAAATGTATTTGGTCCACACTTTTAAGAAGGTAATATATATTGTTTATATTATTTGTGTTTTTTAGTTTGTCAAATTTGCAAATATTGAAGAAGACACACCTTCCTATCACAGACGTTATGACTTTTTTGTGTCTCGATTCAGTGCCATGTGTCATTCCTGTCATAGTGATCCAGAAATACGAACAGAGTATGTATTATTTTACTTTATGATCTATAGTAAGTAATTTAGAGATGAATATTGTGTTTATATGTTACATAATGATTACCAGAGGAAACAAGAATATGGCTGAAATATGGCTTTCCATTGCTGTTAGAAGCTATAATTACTGACTGAAGTAGCAAAATGAGAATGGCTTTCCAGCTCACTAAAATGCAGTCTTTACTGTTGCCTAGAATGTCTCCTCATGCTCTGCTTACTCTGTCAGATCCTGTCCTTCTATCATTTCTTCCTGCTTGCGCTCTAATCCTGCCACGTGGATCTCCTTGCCATTTCTTGAACACTTTAGTCACACTTCTCCTCAGGCCCTTTGGACACATTGGTCTTGGTGCAAAAAACAATTCTCTAGTGCCCACATGGCTTGTTACCTCACTTTGTTCAGATTTCTGCTCAAATGACACCTTATCACAAGAACCCTCCCCAGCCACCCTTTATTAATGTCACCCTTCTCATTCTATCCCTAGTTATCTTTATCTTTTTATCATGTATCTCTTTGTTTCTTGCTCCTCTATGGAATATAAATTCCAGGAGGGTGAGGACTTTGGTTTGAGGACTGCAGTATTGCCAGTACTTTGAATAGGGCCTGGTACATAGTAGGCTCTCAGTTAGTACTTTTTGAGTGAATAAGTAGATCAATGGAATGAATGTATATTACTGAATCACTATCCATCTGAGGTTGTCATGACAACTATCTTGGACATTTTTAAACATTTCTTCTAGATGTATCCTACTAAAAATCTGAAGTCAAATATTTTATAAACTCAATCTGTAGGTGGATAGAATGAGAAATACAGAAATGAGAAACTTTAAAGTTAAGAATTAAAGTCAAAATGACTTTGGGAAACAGAGAAAGTAATTTGAGCATTACTATCTTACATCTAAAAACCAAGAAATCTGCCAGGATTTAAAGTTACTGTGGGCAGTTGATAATCAAGATATAGAATGCTTTATAATTTTTACTTTTATTTTAAAATAAATAAAGGAATGTACAGAAATATAACTAGCTTTTAGTTAAAGCATACAAGCTACAGTGCTGGTTTACATGAAACAAAAATAAGTATAAATGTTATTTTAATTGGAGAAAGAAAGTTTAAAGGTGATTAAATAGTTATTTTCAGGTATAAGATTTATTTTTGTCTGTGATGCTGCTGGTATAATTTTTGCTCAGTAGAGTATAGGCCATTTAGAGTCCTGCTATTATTCCTTTATTACGAAGTGTACAGCCTTCTCAGAGGTGAAAAATACTACAATTACCTTATAAGAATTAGTTTTCTGTTTGTCTCCATCACCAGGAAAATTCTTTTTTCTCTCTCTCAAGGATATTTTTTAAATGTTTATGAGACTGTTCTCTCTCTTGAGAGGCTGATGATAAGTTTTTAATGGAGCAAAAAGATACAAAGATTAGCTAAAGAAAATGGCAATTTTTTCAAGATTTTAACATTTTTGCTTTCTTTCAAAATACAGAAAATATCTGGAATGTGGTATGTTTTTTCTAAATATTTATCATTCCCTAGTGAAATATCTTGTCTTTTGAATATATTTTTACCTGTTTTTCATTACTGCTTCCAAGAAAAACTTTGAAATTTTCTATAAACCAATGAAAGGACTTACAGTACATTTTGCTAATTCTATGTCTTTCCAATATTATATCATATTTGAAGTTCCATAATACCCACATTTTATTTGAATTCCTGTAAAACAAGTGAGTAAACTAAAATGCTATTTAATATAAAATACTTAGTTTATTTTTGCTTTACTTTAAATAAAAGTCCTTTTGATTTTCTTTAAGTATATTTATATTCTGAATTCTAACTTAGATAAATCATTAGTCCCTTTATTTTTTTTACCAAGCTCTTATCAAGTAGAACTCCAGGGGACATGGACAGTAGGAGATGGAGCTGGTAAATATTAGGATTTTCTTATTTTCCTTGAAGAACTGGTTCCCACTTGCAGCATCACAATCTTAATCTGTAACTCTGATTTTCTAAAGAAACTTCAGCTGTGGTAGAAATTACCACCACCACCACCATCATTGTCATCATCCTCATCATGGTTAGCAGCAAACGGGAACAGCTAACACTGAGTGCTTACTGTGTGCCAATTATTGTTTAACCACTTTACATGAATTAACTCATTTAAATTACTCAACATTTCTATGCTGTAGATGTGACAGTTGTTCTATTTTACTGATGGGGAAACTGTAGAATTCCTTTTGGGGGATCATGGCTAGAATGTGCTGATTAGTCTAGATGTTAGATCTGGATAGGATGAAGCTGTGTAGCTAATAGTAGCTATTGGTAGTTACCACCAACACCACCCTTTAACCTTGAACAAGGGCACCACTATCTGCTGCTGCACCATTTAGGCTGCTGTCTCACAAGGCATGATACAAGTTTCATCTTGTTTGTTCATGTGCTCCATGCCACCTTGTGCTTGGCCTTCTCATCACCCAAGGTGTAGCAGCAGGTACGTAAAGCAGGCACCTTTTGTAGCAGTGTTAGCCTTGCCCACTGTAATAGCTGCACGAGAATCTCTCTCATAGATCTTCTTTATGTTTTAAAAAGTAGCATGTATAGACACAGCTTTGAAATAGGCAAAATTTGCCTTTGTGTCTTCTAATTCATTTTTCTCACCTGTTCAGTATCATTTTACTGCCACCTCCCATTCTCCATCTACTACTCTTGAATGCCTGCATTATTTTGCCATGGGGATGTAAAGCAATGTCACCTCCCTCCCCATATCTTCTATGCTTTAAACCTATTTACTGTTTTTGGAAGACAATGCTAGGTAAACTGAATAAACATCTAATTGGTGAGTATTTCAGACAGTAGAAAGAAAGGAAGTAAATAGCCATCATATTTGACCAGAAGGAAAATGTTTTGAGACTAATTGGGCCACCAAGTTAGCTCTGCTTGAGACTTTGTTCTGTTGCAGTTTTTAGAAACTGTTTACAAGTCACTTTTCTTCTCATTCTTGAACCTATAGATTTTTATTTTCTTTTGCTTTTTTGAAGAAGTATAAGGAAGAGCTTGAGGAGGTTTGGTGATGTGATCTGGGATGGGAGGATAAGGCAGCATTCTCTCACTACTATATTGATACATTTTAAGTCACATCCGATTATTATATGATAATGTATGTGTGTTTATAGACACATTTGTATATATATGGCTGAGGTTATCTGTGCTCCATTTCGATAGTTCTTATTTGTAATACCTTTTAAAAGAACCAGCTTAGTCTTCTGTCTAGGTGGACTAAGGGAGTTGAAGGGCTGTTAGGGAGGAACAGTGAGAAGTCTGAAGAAGCATGAAGGGTGTGCAGAACAGGGAAATCCTGTTTTCACTCAGCTCTTAAGACTTCTAGGTAAGAAATGGAGTATCATTATCATTTTAAGAAAATCTATGTTGTTGATTTTTTTAAATAGAAAAATAGATATTTCTGTATTTTAGAGTCCTTTTAACTTTTTAAATGCTGATTTTAAGAACATGATATTTAAAGTAAGCCTTTTTGGGGCATATCTCTGTGTCTCTTAAATTTTTGAGATTTACTTTCTTAGACTTGTGTGTTATTTTAAGATATTTTATGGAGAAGATAACAGTATTTACTTGATATCCATTCTCTTAGGCAAACAGACTTATTCAAATAATTTTTTTATGGCTCATTTTCTTCCTTTTTTTTTTTTTTTTTTTAATAGGATACGAATTGCTGGAATTAGAGGTATTCAAGGTGTGGTTCGCAAAACAGTTAACGATGAACTTCGGGCCACCATTTGGGAACCTCAGCATATGGATAAGATTGTTCCATCCCTTCTGTTTAACATGCAAAAGATAGAAGAAGTTGACAGGTATTTAAAAAGATACTAGTGTTGAGACTGTATTACTTTTATGTATGTGTATGTGTGTTTGCTAGGATAAGAATGTTTTGTCTTTAGTACTGTGTAAAAAGTAGTCTCATAAACTTAAATGAGTTTAAAAATATGTACCTTTCTGAAAAAATTTTTAGTCTGTGGTGATCCCATTAGGCTTATAGTAGACTACAGAATATTACTCATACACTTAAGCCTTTCTTTTAGAATAAGTTTACAGTTTATTTGCCACTAGTTATTGAATATTCAAATTGCCGTTTTAATGAATACTACTTAAAGTTACAAATGTGAGAAACAGAAATTATAAATTTACTTTTGTTAATCTAAAAGATCCAGCATACTTTTGCACAGGGAGTTAGAACTAACGAAAATAATAATGATAATGATAATAATAGCTACCTACACTGTATTTTATTTTTTCAACAAAATGGTTAGACACTGTTCATATTTGATTTGTCCTAAGATATTTTGAAATTGAATATTGTTTTGGGATTTATGCTCTTTTTTTCTTTTTCCTCTACAACATTCACTTGCAGTTAGAATTCTGTACTTTATTCCACTTTTTCAAATACTAGAAGCATGCTTATCCCCCACATTTTTGTTACCATACACAGAGATAATGAGTTAATAAACAAATAGTAAAATATAAATAATATTTTTAACATTTAATATAAATAATATATTAATAAATATTTCAGAAGCAGTATTCTCCAGTGGCTTATTATCCTGACTTTCCTGGTTCTTGCAGTTTGAGGAGAAAAATTTGAGTCAAATTTAAAAGTGATCCAATCTGTAGTTCTAAATTTACATTTTATTTATGATTTTAGTGATTATATGTGTAGTAGCAACATAAAAGTAGTCTAGAAATGATAGGTAGTTGATAACTGTATGGTAACACTTAAACATTGATGTTAATTTACAATAATTACAGAAAGGATTCATGCTTAATTCCTTAGATGTGACTGTCTCCAGCTTTGGGAACCTTTCCTAAAGTGTGAAAGTTGATGTACTTTAGTACTATCTGTATTTTCCTATTCTTGGCACTGTAGCTGAGGTGAAAGTTTCCTTATCTCAAATATTTACTATTTAAAGGTTCACTAGCTAGTTGGGAACCCATTTTCCATAATTATGGCTTTTGAGGTCCAGGATTAGCATAAGTAAAATACAAGAAACAGCTCATTGGTTGTCAATTCTTAAGAAATTATGTTTTTTCGTGATATAATCCCAGTGCCACATATACATTTTTAGAATTATTATTCATAAATTCATTAGCCTAAAATAATGTTTCAGGATGTGAATAGAATACTGTCTGCTGAAGACAGCTACGTATACAGATACTCTAATTAGCTTTTAAATTTTATTTTTTATTTACAGGCTATGTCATAGTTTTTCACTTTATTTTTGCCCATTTACAGTTAAATGAAGGATACCTAAAGACGGTCTCTGGGCCCTGTGTTCTTACTAAGATTTTGCTATAAATACAGAAAAGTTGAATGAAAGTGAATAGCAAGCTGCTGAGTATAAGAGACATTCTGTTAGAAATAATTTGCACAGCCAAGTTTATTTCTTCAATTTGAAAGAGTGTATGATTCATTTTGGTGGTGTTAAATTCATGAAATTAGAATTAAGCTTTATATTTGCTGGAGGATAAAAAGAAAATGCCATTTTAACATTTCTAAAAAGTAAAGTGTATTGTTTATTAGAACTAATGTTAAAATTCTTGTGTTTTTCTTTATTTCCCTTTTTTTTTTAGTCGCATAGGCCCTCCTTCTTCTCCTTCTGCAACTGACAAAGAAGAGAATCCTGCTGTGCTGGCTGAAAACTGTTTCAGAGAACTGCTGGGTCGAGCAACTTTTGGGAATATGAATAATGCTGTTAGACCAGTTTTTGCGTAAGTAGTTTTTCCTGGTTATTTGTGACTTTGCTGTGTTAATCCTGTGTTAACTTATTTATAGAGGACAACTACTTTTTTACCTGCATGAGTGAGTTATTAATGGAACCAGTGTAACATTGTAGAAGTAGTACAGGACTGAGTCATGCATGATATGTTTGAACAGTGGTTCAATTACTTAATTAGCTTTTTCCCTTTAAGTATGAAGTGTAATAATATGTTTAATATCATGGGCATTGTTTAACTTGAGTATCTACTTACAGACCTTGAAATGCATATGTGCAGTGAAATATTTAAACAAACAGTGTCTAAGTATGATGTATCTTCTTCTACTAACTTTCATGGTCAGTTTTTCCTGGTCACTGGCTTCTATTTATTGGCTGTCTTTTTGCCATGGCTGGGCTACCTTAGATCACATTCACATCCCTGAGTAAATTCGTCTTTTACATAGTGATTAATCAGAGCAAGAATATTAAATATCTCTTTGGTACTTTCATGCTCTCCTCCCGGCAAAATACGTTAATGAGCTTTGAGTTTCTCCACATAGACATGATCTCTCAAGCCTTGTCAAGCCATTGTGTTTCTAACTCAGTCACCAGATGATAGATCTACTATAAAATATTCTATGTAATTTCTAGACGTTTTTGCTAGTCTTTCTTTTGTTAAAATTCACCTTGTCCTTTTCTCCTTCTGACTGTAATAGTGGCTTTATAGAATATATACGGTATTCCTAATGTAACATCTAGAGTTCTTTAGGACAGATGGGTGTTCGTAGCCTAGTGTTCAAAGTTGAACCTTAGTTACAAGAATCTATAAATCATAAAATTATATTAAAAATTAGAGAATCATTAGATTTTCAAAGGGATCTATGTTTCCTCCCACCTCCAAAATATTGAGATCCACTGTTTAAATGTTCTGTAAACTTACGGAAATGCTACTAAAAATTAATCAGAATTATGCCAAATATACCAAGGGCAAATTTATTTTTTTAATATTCAGCTAGACATGCTGACTTAACATCAGAATTCCATTTTTTTATCTTAATACTCTTAGAACTAATCTATAAGACCTTAAAAATCTAGAGAGCCAGCTTGGAAGAAAGAATTTACCAAATAAGCTGTACTTGAGTTGAATAACATGAACTGAGTTATGTTCTTTTCTACATAGAACTTAAAATTTCTGATCATGTATTAGTTGATTAAATTAATCTTAAGTAAACATGTGATTACACATTAGCCATTTAGTTAATTAAATATTAAATGCCCTCTGCAAGTGAGGTGCCAGATATTTTGGGAATATATGCATGAATAACAAATTTGATGGGTGATTGACGTGTATAATATTTATAAAATAATATATGAATTATGAGAAAAGGACAAAAAGTGCTCTAGTAGTTCAAAACAAATAAATCATGTCTAATTTGAGAATTTAGGGCCAGTGTCTTTTTTTTTTTTTTTTTTTGAGACAGAGTTCACTCTTGTTTCCCAGGCTGGAGTGCAATGGCGTGATCTCGGCTCACCACAACCTCCGCCTCCTGGGTTCCAGCAATTCTCCTGCCTCAGCCTCCCGAGTAGCTGGGATTATAGGCGCCCAACAGCATGCCTGGCTAATTTTGTATTTTTAGTAGAGATGGGGTTTCACCATGTTGTTGAGGCTGGTCTCAAACTCCCAACCTCAGGTGATCCACCTGCCTTTGCCTCCCATGTGCTGGGATTACAGGCATGAGCCACAGCACCCTGCCAGGGCCAGTATCTTTTAATGTAAATGAAGGTAGTTATCAAAAACTGCTCTGGAAATTGTATTTTATTTGTAAAGAATGCTTTTGTTTGACATTGAAGTAGATTTTTAATTTCAATTATTATTTGAGTAAAGAAAATAAAAGATTTAAAAGAAATTTTGAATATCATATTTTTAATCAATAGTAAGTACAAGACACTGATAATGTTAGCTGGAGTGTTGGATGTAGTTTAGGGGTTTACAGTGACATAAGAGGGAAAATGTTTAGGCTGTACTGTAGAGATCTTAAAATTTTATATTTAAGTTTATAGATAATCAGTGGAGACCTTAGCTCAAAGTATAAAGTGGCTGAAATGTCCCTTTGAGAAAGTTAATCAGATAGGGCTATATAGGACAAATTTGAGCCAGGACCAGTATGTTAGCAGGTTACTGTAATAAAATTCTTGACAAGTAAACTTGCGAATTCTAAGTAATTGGTAACGTGCTTGAAGTGGTAAATAAAGTTTGTTTTTCTGCCTCTTAGCAGATAAATATTGTATTGGACAATATTTAACTTGACTATTGGGTAAGAGTCCATAAGATCATGATAATACAGGTCATATTAGCGTTAAAGATTTATTTTATATCTTCTGAGAGTGAAGATGGAAGAATTTGACTCAATTATAAGACAGAAACTACCCAGTTTATCAGATTCAGGTTAACTGTGCATTTGTTTTCTGCATTTTGTTCTATAAATTTTCTGAATGTGTTTGTATCACTGCTTCTGTCCACTTTATTTTAATTAGTGGGTTTCATTTCTGCCTTCTACTCTTCATTCAGGCTTCTTCAGAACAGGTAGCCATGTTCAAATGCTTCTTCGAATGTCTAGAGCCTAGAGCATAGTATAACACATAGTAGACCTTAATAACCATAATGATTCAAGAGGGATTTCATGTCTTTTGTTTTGTGCCATTTCCATTTTTAATGCCCCAGAAAGTAATTATTACTTTCAAGGAAATAAAAGTTAGAAGAAGCAGCACAGATGTTAATATAGGTCATATCAGGATGTGCTGTTTATTAGTTGTATGAACTTGAAAAACTCATTCAACCTCTCTGAGCTCCAATTTTTTCACCTTTGAAAAGATTTGAATGCATGCATTAAGTGGTTTATTTATATATTAAAATAGAAGCTACCACTTATCAAGTGCTGCCGCGCCCTGTGACTATGCTAACCTCATATACTTTATCTTACTTAATCTTTTTACCCTATGAAATGGATGTTGTTGTTATCCCCATTTTCCAGGTCAGAGAACTGATCCTTAGAGAAGTCAGGTAACTCGCTCATGGACAAGGACATATAGGTAGAAAATGAAGTCAGAATTCAAATTCTGATCATTTTATTCCTGAACCCATGGTCTAGATTAACCATTAAGGTTAATAATATATGCCTAGCATAAAGTATATTTTCAACAAATGATAGCTATAATAAAGCTGGTTTTGATGCGGAGGGACAATTTTTAAAATCTAATTTTGATATAGTAGGTGAGAAGTAGATCTGGCAATCTGTGAATATAATCTAAGGCTGTTCCCCTGGTGTTTTCCAGCCTTATATTTTTCCTTCATTCACTCTCTTTCATTCAGATTTACTTGTTAGTTAAAATTACCCTTTGAGAGAAGTAAATAAATAAATCACAACATTAAAAAAACCAGTGAATCAATAAATATTTGTTGATTAAATGTTCATGAAACTATTTCTGGTCCACAGCATTGCTTTAGAAATAGCTTTAATTGCAACATATATTTCATGAAGTTCATTAATTAAGAATTAAATTGAAATCTTGCTTTTCTTTTCGGTAGTATTCTCACTATTAAGCTTTCCCTATTGTTGAGGTTTCTAGAGGAAGAAAGTATAATAAAATAGAGAATTTTAAAGTAATTTTTGTTATTTGCAGGCATTTAGATCATCACAAACTGTGGGATCCCAATGAATTTGCAGTTCACTGCTTTAAAATTATAATGTATTCCATTCAGGTAAGGTTTGATTAACTATTTGCTATATATAAGTAATTTTGGTTCTGTATAGATAAGCACATTATCAAACAGATGTGGAAAGCTGTAGGATATAAATCATTCCTCTTAATTTAGCTCTTTTTTCTCATACATTTTCATTTGCTACTTATTTTCTTATTTGCTAAGATGAAAAGATAGATCTAATAAGGATAACTAAGTCATTTGCCAACACAGACAAGCTTCTTGACAGTCTCCTGCTATCCCCTGATTCATTGAGGGTGCTGTCTTTTAGGGGTTCTGAATTGTCACAGGGATATCTGATCTCATAGCCTGCCTTTCCTGGATGGCCCCTAAGCTTTATATCTAGTCTCCTATGTATACAACCATTTAAATGAGTAGCTTTGGGCACTGGAGAGCTGTAGATGTGCCTGGGACTGCTGCTGGCCTCAGTGTGCACTCACCTTTCCAGATGCTTACCTTCTTGTGGAGTTTAGACTAAGGGACTTTCCTTTCTTGTCGCTTTATCTGGATATCAGAAAGTCTTATATATAGCTGACCCTTGAATGACATGAGTGTCAACTGTGCAGGTTCACTTACAGTATAGATTTTTTTTCCCAACAAAATGCAGATCGAAAATCTATTATTTGTTGGATTCAAAACCCCATGTATATGGGAGCTGATTTTTTTCCTCACAGGGCCAACTGCAGGATTTGAGTATGTGCAGATTTTGGTGTGGGGTGGGGCTGGAACCTATCCCCAAGTATATCAAGGGATAGCTATAGTCTAGTATTTTACTATTGTGTTATGACAGGGTTTGGCAATTTGGGAAAACGTGTAATGTTTCTGGAAATGGTAGTATATACTAGAATAGAAATTTCTGTTTATTACCATTGTACAATTAAAACTTTGGATAGCTTTGATTGTTTTAATTGCCATTTACCATAAACTTGGTGTAGGTATCACTCTTAGGTAATATTTCACCCTCTCTCCATAAAACAAACTAGCTAGTCTTGACTAGGATTTATATCCTTAAGGGTTTACATAGACATAGTTTCAAATATAGTAAGGCATTTGTGGTAAAGGGAAAATATTTTACTTAAAGCCTATCTTTTATGCTAAATTTATTTCTTGAGGGTAACAAGATGTGATTAAGAGTTGTACTCTGAGATCAGACAGAATTCACTTTTAGGCTTTTTCTTAATAGTTTCTGCATGACCTTAGACAAATTACTAAAACGTGCCTTATTTATACTGTGAAGGGCATGGAGTAATTGAGGTGAATCTACCTCCTAGAACTGTTTGTGTATATAATACATATAAAGTACTTAGAAGAGTGCCTGCTTCTGGTCACTTCTGAATGAAATACTCTTTTGTCGTCATTGTTGTTATGTTCAATGTTATAGTCATGTATTAGCTCAGGAGTCACCAATTGAAAAGTAGTAATAATAACTAATACATATTAAGCATTTTGTTATACAGTAGACACAATTTGGGTGCTTTATACAAATTAACTTATTTAACTGCCCCAAGAATCCTGTGAATAATTGTTATTGTTTAAATATTATAAATGAGAGAAACTGAGTTACAGGGAGATTAAATAATGCTCTCTTAATCTGAGAGTTATTTAGCTATTAAATGATAGAGTCAGAATTTGAACTTGGGCAAGTTTGACTCCAGGGCTTGTGTACTTAACCACCACTGTATTACGTTGTGTCTTAAAGCAATTCATCTGTTAGCATTGCTTTAAACTTCAGTGTAAGGGCAAATTTTACCATAGATAAATGAAACCTCAGTACACGTGACTTCAACATACTGTATAACATCTTCGCACTTTCCTTCCTTTCACTCCATATTCTTTTGTTTAATACATGATATCGTTCTTGAGTTGTTCTTTATAAGTAGAACGAACACATGCCCTGGTTTGCTTAGTGTATTCATACTTTATAATTATTGACAATACCTCCTTCACTCTCTGCAGTGTCCTCATTTGGACAATAAATCAAATGGCTACTCTTACCTATAAAGGCAGACTAATAACTGCGCAAGGTTCACACATCAGAAGCGTGCAGCTTCCTGGACAAGAAGTTCAGTTTCAGGTTTTGTGTGTGTCTTCCTGCCTAACATTCATCTATTTTAACATAGCTTTAAATGAAAAAAAGTAAAGATGAAAACATAAACTTAGTTTTTACCTTGGGTGGTTTTAAAAGTAAAAGTAGATGTGTATTATGACAAAAATTTGAGAAATACCTAGAGATGAAATCTGTTACTTGATAGAAAAGGAGGGAAACTTTTTGCATTTCAGCAGAGTAGCCATTATGCATAGGGCACTTCTGCTTATCAAACCACACATTCCAAAGGAAAGAAAGTAACCAGCCTGAAAACAGAGTGGGGGGACCTTTCTGAAGGCAAATACAGACAGAGAGATTGAGAGCCACAGGCACTTTTTACAGCTTGTGCTTGATAGTAGACTGATCCTTACTCATGAGTGTAAGTGTAGGTTTTAAAAAAACAAAACTTTGCTACTCTTCAAAAACAAAAAAATCTCTTCACTGGAATTAAAAATAAACATTTTTTTGGCTATCCTTTTTCCGTTTTAGGCCCCAACATCATTTACTACAGTTGATCAGATTTATTTATATGTCATAAAATTGCCTTTGTTAATTGTACATCTTTTGATATCTCCTTGATTTAAATTTTGTCAGGTACACATCGATAATATTTTCATTTTGACACTAGCTCTTGATTAGGTGAGTGTTTTGACTGTTTAGATTGTTAGGTGTCCATGTTAAATAGTATTTATCTAGTTTGGGTATGGGAAAAATACTGTGAATGTCATAATTTATGTTTTTTACAAAATTTTGTACTATTATCAAATCATAAAAGTGTATAAATGTACTTTGTGAAATTACAGAGAATATAAAGATAATAAAAATTTCTCATAAATCGCTTTCTCAGAGGTTGCCAGTGTTAATCTTTTTATATATAATTCTAATTTACTTTTTAAAAACTAGATTGAATTTTATTAAACATAGTATTGTGCAGTATGCTTTTTTTCACCCAGAATGTCATAAATATTTTCCAGCATCTGTGTTTATTCTTCAAAAGAATGACTTTGTATTGTGGCTATTTATTGTCTCGTAACATTACCACCAATCACTAATTGGACATTTATGTGTCCGGTGGTTTTTTTCAGTCTTAGGAATTCTGCCAAGGTACATGTACTTGTTTATACATCTTTGTACTGTTTTGTCTCCTTCAGGCTCAGTATTCTCACCATGTGATCCAGGAGATTCTAGGACACCTTGATGCTCGTAAAAAAGATGCTCCTCGGGTTCGGGCAGGTATCATTCAGGTTCTGTTAGAGGCTGTTGCCATTGCTGCTAAAGGTTCCATAGGTGAGTGCCAGTAAATAAAATGTGCATTAATCTGGTTCAAAGTGTTCTTTCAGTAATTATAGCAGTGTATGAAGAACTCTTTAAGAATATTTCTATACGTTTTTAGATGTACAATAATTTTTTCTTTTTGAAATTTGGGTTTGTGCAATTATTTTCAGGCTTCTTTAGTGCACAGTTAAGTATTTTCCTCCACATCAATTCCTCCTCCCTTTCCTTCTTCAAGGATACTCAAGGTTTTTGAGTATTCACTATATACTGAACATTGGGAGAATGCAGAGACAAGAAACTGATAGTGTACTTGTGATTTGACAGCTCCACCTAATACTGTAATATGTGGCAAGCTTTGATCACATATCACAAAAAAAGCCAGGGTTTATAGAAGGGAGGGAAAATGGATTAGCATGAGCAAAATTTTATGTGGTCCTTTTTGGGTAGAATGTATGGTATTAGTTTAGAAATCAGAGAAGTGGCTTTAAAATTAAGTCGTAGCCAAATTGTGGACATATTCCTTTAGCTGATTAATAGTCCTTAAAGATTTAGTCTTCATGAGAAATGTGCTATAGGATAATTTTTCTGGCAGCAAAATGTAGGGCACATTAGAAATAACGAGTTAGTGTCATTGAATCCATGAGGGAAAGAACTTGCCCTTGCATGGAAGCAGCAGGAATAACAATGTCAGGTTGATAGGATTTGATAATGGGTTAATGAGAAGTAGGGGTAGTTCAAAACTTATGATATTATACCTACATGTAACTACAAAAATGGAATAGTGCATATTAGAAATACAGAAGTTTGAAGGAGAATCTGGTTGTGGTTTCTTTGCTTGAAACACAAAGTGAAACTATATTATGTAATGATATAGTCATCCCTCGGTATCTGCAAGGGATTGGTTTAAGGACCCCTGAGAATGCCTAACTGCGGGTACTCAAGTTCTGTGTATAAAATGGTGTAGTGTTTGCATATAACCTATGCACACCCTCCCATATACTTCACATCATCTTTAGATTACTTACAATACCTACTGCAGTGTAAATGCTATGTGAATAGTTGTTACACTGTATTGCTTTTTTATTTATTTATTTTTTTATCGTGGGTTTTTTTTTTCCCGAATATTTTCAGCCCATAGTTGGTTGAATCCAGAAGTGCAGATATGGAGGACCAACTGTATTCTTTTGTTCTTTTATTGTCAAATAAAGGTGGGCATCTTGGATATGAATTTTCTATTTTATCTTGTAACTTAGAGAGATAAAACAGGTTATTTAATTGGAAAGTTATTTAATTGGAAATATGAAATAAAACATAGATGATACATTGAATCATCACACTGATTAATGTCTACTGTGTGTTAGGTACCGTGTGCTAGGCTCTATACATTTGAAGAGGCATTTAAACATGGCTACCTGTCCTGATGAAGCTTGAATCAAGAGTAAAAGGCAGAAATGAAATCTACTCATTAAAATAAAGTGGACAGAAGCAGTGATAGAAACACATGCAGAGAATTTATAGAACAAAAAGCAAGAGAACAAATGCAGTTAACCTGAATCTAATAAATTAGGTAGTTTCTGTCTCATAATTGAGGCATATTCTCCCTTCCTCAGTCTCAAAAGATACAAAATAAATATTTGATGCTTCTGTGAGCTATATTATATAATTTCGTGGATTCTTACCCAGCGGTTAAGTTAAATATTGTCCTAGTACACATTATTGTGAACAGATAAGATTAAATAGGTAGAAGGTTTTTGGTAATTCTTGTATGCACATACACATTTTTTAAGGGTAGAACTAGAGATTCAAACAGTGAGTTGCTCATAAATGCCCAGTGTTTGTTGGTATAATGAGAGGGCTTTCTTAATTATTTCTCATTTACTCTTTTTTAAAAAAATGAAATAGTTAATAAATTACTGTGGATTTTTGACTAGAAAATTACAAAAACAATCTGTGAAGAAATAAGATAATTGACTTCAAATATGCAATACTAGAAACATGTATCTTCTCACATAAGTGATCCTTTATAGGTCCAACAGTGCTGGAAGTCTTCAACACCCTTTTGAAACATCTGCGTCTCAGTGTTGAGTTCGAAGCAAATGATTTACAGGGGGGATCTGTAGGCAGTGTCAACTTAAACACAAGTTCCAAAGACAATGATGAGAAGATTGTGCAGAATGCTATCATCCAAACAATAGGTGAGTACATTTCACTTTTCAAAACTGTCGTATAAAACAGTGATAGACAAAGCTCTCACGTAAAGTCCTGGACTGTTATAGTACATTTGTCAAAGATGAATGATAGCTTAAACTTCTGAAAACTTTATTTTCGAAAATAAGCAAGCATGACAATGGAACAAAGAACACTATGTTGTTCCATTAAATCTGCAGGACACGAATTCATCTACTGTTAACATTTTATGGCATTTACTTCTTCATTTGCTTTTACTCTGTCTTGTCTGCATCTCTTCCTCCCTTCTCTCTCTCCCTCTCTGTTTCTATTTCTCCCTATGTGTGTCTCTTTGTGTATGTATGTATATGTGGGAATACACACATACACATGCGTATTTTTTTCTAAACCACGAGATACAGGAAGTTGCATACATCATGGCCTATTACTACTACATACTTTGATGTATTTTTCCAAAAATTAAATGTATTTTTTAATATAACCAGAGTTAAATTGTCAACATCACTAAATTTAACATTGATCCAGTACTTGAATCAACCCTTCCTATTTCAGTTTTATCAGTTGACCCAATAATGTACTATATTGACTTTTTTCCTTAAGTCCAAGATTCAGTCTAGGATCATATATTGCATTTAGTTGTAATATTTCTTTAAGTCCATTAGTCAGGAACATTTCCATTATGACATGGACATTTCTTAAGAGTAAAGTCCCCCTCCCACTTTTTTAAAAATAGAAAGTTCTTCATTTGGTTTTGTAATGGTGTTTCCTTGTGATTAAATTCAAGTTAAATATTCCTAGCTGGAATACTACATACGTTATATGTTCTTCTCAGATTAGCACATCCAGAGGTACACACTGTAACTTGCTCCTTTTTCGTTAAATTAATTTTGATCACTTAAGGCATTATTATATTCCTCCACTGTATGGTTTTAGTTTTTTCCATTGTAAATAATAAGCAACCTCTGAAAAGGCACTTTCAGACCATGGGGATATTCTGCTTTTCATCCAGACTTAAGGTTAGATTTAGCATTCGTTCATAATTCTTGTCTGAATTAGTCTTTACCATGATGGCTGCAAAATGATGGTTTTTAAACTCTAGCACTCCTTCCAAAACTATCAGTTGCCTCTCAATGTTCTCAATGTTCTATTGTAAGCAGGAGCCCCCTTTTCTACCTTTCTAAGTATGTCAGAATGCATGTATTTGTTTATTGGTATGAACTCAATGGATTTGTATTTTCATGGTTTATAATTCATTACTATAGTTAATCATTTTGATGCTCAGATTGTCCCGGATTTGGCTCATGGGAGCTCCTTCAAGACATCCCCCAACCCCCCTGAACCTTTTTTTTTTTTTTTTTTTTTTTTTAAAAGCACTGCCTTACTTGGGTAAGCTGTTCCAGACGAATTCTATACTTTCTGCCCCAGCCCTGGAATTAGTCATTTCTCCAAAGGAGCTGTGGTTGCTTTTAGTGGGTAATAGTATTAGAGACTAATATCTGGATGCTAATATCTTGGACTTTAATATCGTATACTTTTCTTTCTTTTTTAAATTTTCTTTTTTGTTTTTGTCCTGACAATGGTCAAAGTACAAAGAGTGAAGAGCTTCCTTAAGAAAACAGCCATGAGAATTCACATTTCTGGAAATGAAATAATCTGACTGTGTATAAATACAAATTCAAGCAAGCAAGCTATTTTTCTACTTTAACCTTTTTCTTTCAGTATTTTCTTCAGGATAGCCAGATCATATTTTAATAACCACCTGCTTGCTATGATAATTTCACAGTTTCACAATTGTATTCCTGGGGTTTAGTACCTAATTTCTAACCTAATAATAGTTTCAATTAATAGTAGAGTCGTATATAAATTTCTTCTGAAACTAGGCTTATGCCTTTTTTCTGGGTAAGTTTTTCACTTGTGGGCTACTTATTTATAATAATCCTTTGGGATACTTAATATAGACTTTCTCTTGGTCATCTTGTTTTTAAAGTTTTATGGATATGCATACATGGATTGTGCATCTCCATTGACACCACCTATTTATTTATTGGACATATGCGTATACCATTTCTTGTACTAGGGCTTCATGATACATGGGGCTCTCACCTTGTGGAGGCATTTGTTGATCTGCTTGGAGTGGTACCTCTATTTCATCTAGTTGCCGTCTCATCACATGTCTAGAAATTGTGCTCATTAAGGAAAATACCCAGGAGTGTCTCATTCAACACACTAACACAGAGTAGGCACTTAAGATTTTGAGACTGACTGAAAAGATAAAATGTAATAAACTCCAGCGTTACCATGGAGTCATAATAAAGCATAGACATTCTAGTTATTGCTTAAAACAATTAGTATTAATGTATAGTGAACCTCGGTTCTGTGGTGACTTTTACATTTATTTGGATTATTTATAGATTTTTTGTGATATTTGAGGATGTTAAATCAGCTAATCTTGATTTCACAGAATCGATTTAAATGCTTTAATGACTTCTAATTAATTCAGTGTTACTGTTTCACTCTAGAATATTTAATATATTGTTTCTTAAGTATTTTATTATAAAGTGTATATACAGAAGACTCAAGCCATATTTCTGTGATACAACACATTTAGAATAACATGTAAGAATTTAAAAAAGAGAGGAAAGAAATGCAGTGTGGCACAGTAAGATTTCTCTTTTAAAATCAAACTTTAACAAAAATCTGGTTTCCTTAATAGTTTCCTTTTTAATTTCTCAGTATTCTGGCAGTTGTCAGATCATGTGGTTATTCCTGTCGGTGGGCCATGGAACAGGGCTACTGTAGCTTTTGCACTTCCAAGTTATCAGCCTGTTGGCCAACGCCTCTTTCTTTTAAAATAGTGAAGAACATAGCTACCTGCTTTGTTCTTTTCTTCTGGACTCATTTCTGTTCAGTAGTTCAAATACAAACAGTAGGTGTAGAGAATGAGATGCTTTTGGTGACTCTCTGTCCTTAGAGCTAGTCATATTGAAGACTCCTACCCAATTTTAAGTTAAAAAAATAAAGCAATTCTAAAGCATACATTAGTTGCATTTCTTTCCTACTGTTACTATTTTTAGGTCTTTAATAGTCTTGTGTCTAATTAACATCAGATATAGTGGACTCAGTTGACCGTATGCTTGGGAGACAAAAATAAGAGTTTTTCCTTAGGACAATGGTTCTTAACTTTGTTGCACATTGAAATTACCTCAGGATCTTAGAAAAGCACTGATGCTTGGACTTCCGAAACCCCCAGATATTCTGACTTCATTATTTTGGTATGTCCCCTATGCATCAGCATGTTAAAAGCTCCCCGAGGTAATTCTAATGTGCAGCAAAGCTTGGGAACCACTGAATTAGAGAATACTATTCCACACATTTGAAAAGCATGAAGAATGACCTTGAATCAGAGATGCAAATGTTGTTGAATACAGGGAAGTATGATAGTGCTTGTTAACTCCAAACTTTTACTGTAGTTAGGTGCTGTGGTAAAGAGAACTGCAGGGTACTTCATGTCCTTGTGGTAATAACTAACTTGTTTGAAACAGAAGGTCAGTGTCCAGTTTTCTGCAAGACTGGGAATGTATCTAGTTGTATGGAAGAATTATAGAATAATAATAATAGTGTAGGCTTTGGAAATAAATAACCCTTATCTCAGGCCCTAATGTTAGCTGTGTAATTTTTTGGTAAGAGTTCTTAACTTCTCTAATCCTCATTTCCACAAGAGGAAACTGAGACAAATAAGAGAACCTAGACTCATAAGGTTATTTTGAGGATCCAAGTACAAAATAATTTCTTATTTCATAAATATGTATTCTGTAAGTGTTAACTACAGTAATATACTTTAAGGAGATGGAGTCATGTTAAGGTTATGAGATTTTTGACTGCTAATGTACGTGGTTGTGGGAAATGACTTTTACCCCTAGGTCCAATCAAAATGATGAATAGAACAGTTTGAATTTGTATAAACAGATCATTAACTCCAGTAATAGAAGCTGAACAGTTATATTGAAAAGTCAGCTTATTCTTAAAAAATACTAAAAATGCAGAAAGTTTCTGTAATGACGACATTGAATTTTAAGAAAGGAACATAACAGCCATGATTTGATAGTCTGTTCCAGTCTTTCAAAGAAATAAGAAACTTTTAAAGTGTGAGTAAATAATTAAAGGTTATAAATCTTTTGTGACCAGGAAGTAAGTATCAAAAGCTACAGCAGATAAATTTAAAATATTCTCAGAAACTAGACTGCATAAGAAAAATGACAGGTAAGTTATTTACTTATTTTTTACATCAGTTGAATTATGTATGTTGAATTAATTCACAGGGTTTGTAAACTATAAATTTGGCTTATTATAATGACATTCAGATATTTGAGCAATCCTGGAAAACCAGAGTAGTGACTAATTATTGACTTCTTTACCAATGTGTGGCCTTATTACTGGAACAAAAATTTAGGCTGACAGTGTGTGAACTAGAGTTTCATGTGTGAACTAGAGTTTCATCAGAAATACTACCAAAATATTTTTCCTTTTCTTTTCTTTTTTTTTTTTTTTTTTGAGGCAGAGTTTCGCTCTTGTTGCCCAGGCTGGAGTGCAGTGGTGTGATCTTGGCTCACCACAACCTCCACATCCCAGTTTCAAGCAATTCTCCTGCCTCAACCTCCTGAATAGCTGGGATTACAGGCATGTGCCACCACGCCTGCCTAATTTTGTGTTTTTAGTAGAGATGGGGTTTCACCATGTTGGTCAGGCTGGTCTCGAACTCCCGACCTCAGGTGATCCACCCGCCTCAGCCTCCCAAAGTATTGGGATTACAAGTGTGAGCCATCACACCCGGGCAATATTTTTCCTTTTTCTAAAACTCCAGTCAACTCAAGTCAGTGCTGGTTTGTCACTGTTATAATTATATAAAAAAGACTTTGATAAATTTATCATTTTATCTATCAGTCCATTATACACAGTTTATATTGTACCTAACTAAATGATTTTGTGCAAATGAAATTGTAATATTCTTTAATGTTACATGTAGCATACAGACTTGTCAGTGATTATTTTACCACATGTTGAAAACTTTGGCTAAAAATAATTTTGTATTATATGGAAAAGTAGACTTTTTCAATTTCTAAAATTTATCTTAATACTTTCATAGGATTTTTTGGAAGTAACTTACCAGATTATCAGAGGTCAGAAATCATGATGTTCATTATGGGGAAAGTACCTGTTTTTGGAACATCTACCCATACTTTGGATATCAGTCAACTAGGGTATGTTCTCAGACTGTAAATTTGAACTTAATCTTGAATTACGTTTTATCCTAATGAAATCTAGAAAATGTTTAAGTTTTGTTTTTTTAAAAATCATTAGTAATAAAATTCCTATGGAAAACAGTTAGTAGTATTATGACAGTAGATTGCTAAGCAATTGAATTAACATTTTTAGGCCTTTAGAATCATTTTCAGCTTATAAATTCTCAGATTTTTCCATCTTTAGAAATTGTTTGGCCTGGACATTGTGTGTGTGTGCATACACATTCAGGGTTAAGCTTCAAGTTTCCTGTATAAATTTTAAAAATTAATGTCAGTATATTAGAAATAGTGGCTTATTCCTAGAATTTTAGAACTGAAACTGATTTTAAAGATTATGTGCTCTGACCCCCTTATTTTATACATTTTATTTGGTTTTATAACATGCTAAAGTTTTTGTTTGTGAATGTTTTTGTTTTTTTAATTTAATAAGGAAGTAATAGTATCTTATTCAACTTACATTTCTTTGACCATTAATTTGTTATTTTTTAAAATTGTTCTTACCTGTTTATTCATATTTGTTAAAGAGAGATTATACTCATCAGCTATGTTTGTAGTAATTATTTTCTCCAATGTAAAATGTCTTTTAATTTGGGTTGTTTAGTTGTCTGTTTATATGATTAAATTTTCTTATCATCACATGCATAGGACTGTTTTGAGAGCCAATAACAGATTTTTTAGTTTGATATTTTTCAAGATAATAGTTTTAATTCACATGAATTTTACTTTGGCATATAAAGTGAGCCGTGACTTAAAACTGTTATAAAAGTAAAATCTATTTAGCCAATAAGAATAGAACTTTAAAATCAGTAATTAGAGTAAATGAAGTAATATAAATGCTAATTAGTATAATAATTCCAGCTTTTTGTATATTTTAGGGATTTAGGAACCAGGAGGATTCAGATAATGTTGCTGAGATCTTTGCTTATGGTAAGGCATTTAAGATAAATAAAGGACACACTTAACCTTAAATTACTGTAAGCATTAATTGAATAGCTTCATGTTACAACCTTTCTTTTCTTAAGTAAGTTACTGTTTATGGTTAGTATTTTATTATGTTCTTCATTTTAAAGATTATCCTATAAAAAATATATTTATTTCTCACTTCTTCTGTCATTGTGTTTGATCTTCATAATGATGAAACATACAGAGGGCAGAAACTATTGCCGTCTTATAGATGAGATACCTGGGCTCAGAGACTGTGAGTAGAAGGAGTTGATGAGGTCCACCAAAGTCGCTGGGCTGAAAAACAGAACTCAGATTTGAAATCCAAAGTTCTTTCAACATATTATGCTAATTCTTTCTCATACTGACCAAATAATTGCTTCTGATTGGGAAAATAATTCATTAAAATGAATATTTGCCGTTTAAAATTTGAAGTGGCTATCAATAGCTGAAAAGGAAAAGTATACCCAGAATGAAAGGTCCTCTGATTATTTTCTAGCAGTTGTACTCACATTTGATTCAACCATTGCTAGCACATATGTATCCTTTCGAAATCAGTATCTTTTAGATTTATCCTAGAAATGTTTACTATACATGATCTCATTTTTTAAACGGACTGTCTCATACCTAAGTGCAGAAATACCTCGTATGGTTTTATTTTTAATTCTTTTTAATTCTGTTTATGGCCCTTATCATATAGAAGTTTTGAATTCTAATATAGCCAGATTTATCAGTTTGTTCTATATGTTTTGTACTTTTTCATTTGTATCTTATATAAGAACTCCATTCCTCCTCTGATGATATAAATGCTTTTGTTTGTATTTTCTTATAGCAGTTTTAAAATTTTAGCTCTCTATATTTAGAACTTTAATCTGAAGTTTATGTTTATATGTGGTATGATTTTCCCGGATGGGTAGACAGGTGTCCCACCGGTTTCCCAGCTGACTTATAAAACTACCTCCATCCTATAATAAATGCCCGAATGTAAATGTTAAGTATTCCATATATGTTTATAATCCTGTAAATATGTTGAGATCTCCCACCTGCAATTTAATTTGATCCTAAGCCTTTATTTATATTAGACAAATTTGCTAAGTAAATTATTTTGCCTTGCCATCCTGATTATACCATATAGTCGACTGAATGAATATCTATGTGGTATGCTTAAAATGTTTAATAGCAGCTGGGCACAGTGGCTCATGCCTGTAATCCCAGCACTTTGGGAGGCCGAGGCGGGTGGATCGTAAGGTCAGGAGATCGAGACCATCCTGGCTTACACGGTGAAACCCCGTCTCTACTAAAAATAAAAAAAATTAGCCTGGTGTGGTGGCAGGCGCCTGTAGTCCCAGCTACTCGGGAGGCCGAGACGGGAGAATGGCATGAACCCGGAAGGCAGAGCTTGCAGTGAGCAGAGACCACACGCCACTGCACTCTAGCCTGGGTGACAGAGCGAGACTCCGTCTCAAAAAAAAAAAAGTCAATCAAGTAACTAAGTACAACTTCCCAAAATGAAAATGTATTCCTATTAACCAACTGCCTAATTTAAAATGAGAGAATAATTTGCAAACTTAAATTTAAAATTTGCAGGTCTTACTTTTACTGTTTGTCACCTAAGCTCCTTATATCTCTTTCGTACTAACCTTAACTTCTCTGAGCCTCAGTTTCTCCTTATGAATGAGATTCGCTAGAGTCTACCTTACAGGGATATGGTGAGGACAGTTAATACATATGCAGTGCTTAGAATCATGCCTAACACGTGGTAAATGTATGCTGTTATTAACTTTATTCTCATTATGAATGATGTTTTTGTGAATTCAGCAAAATCCTACATTACTTTTTTTTTTTTTTTTTTTTTGAGACGGAGTCTCACTCTGTCGCCCGGCTGGAGTACATTGGTGCGATCTCGGCTCACTGCAAGCTCCGCCTCCCGGGTTCACGCCGTTCTCCTGCCTCAGCCTCCCAAGTAGCTGGGACTACAGGCGCCCGCCACTATGCCTGGCTAATTTTTTTTTTGTATTTTTTAGTAGAGACAGAGTTTCACCGTGTTAGCCAGGATGGTCTTGATCTCCTGATCTCGTGATCCACCCTCCTCGGCCTCCCAAAGTGCTGGGATTACAAACATGAGCCACCGCGCCCAGCCAGAATCCTTCATTACTTTGCACATTTCCTTTATGTCTTCTCTGCAGGCTTCTGTCCATATTTTCTTTCCTAAGTTTATGGTTCTTATAAAACAATATGAGAATTTTACAAAAAAAAGGACTCGTGACAAAATTGTTTGTTTTCTTCCCGATAATCAGGTGACCTCTGGGTATAAAGCAAAGACGATTGTTACTGCACTGCCAGGGTCTTTCCTGGATCCTTTGTTATCACCATCTCTCATGGAAGACTATGAACTGAGACAGTTGGTCTTGGAAGTAATGCATAATCTCATGGATCGCCATGACAATAGGGCAAAGCTTCGAGGGATCAGGTAATATGCCATTTTGAAATGGATCAAATGATAATGTTTTTAAATTGCTAAATTAGTGTGTTTAAGTATTGTGATTTTTAAAAATCTAGCATGTTCAGGTTTTATTAATCCAGAATTTTATTTAATTGGTATTGAGATAATTTAATCAATATATTTTAAGATAGCAATTTTTTGGAGAGCACATATGTACTCTTCAGAAGCAATTCAGTAGTATTACATACAGGCTTATCAAACTCAAGTGTAAATACAATTTTCCATATAAGATGTGATATTGTAAATAAATGTGCTATTCATTAAAAATGATATATTAATTGTCTCTAGAATAATACCGGATGTAGCTGACCTAAAGATAAAAAGAGAAAAAATTTGTAGACAAGACACAAGTTTCATGAAAAAGGTAAGACATCTTCTAAAAAAAAAAAATGCGTAGTGTAAATTACAGCCATTTGAATTGTTAGGTGGTTTTGTATTGATCTGTGACCTTGAAATGAAGCCATAGAATTTTGAAATTGAAAGACCTCAAGATGCCATCTTCAACCTCCCTCAGGTATAACATTCCTGGTGGTGTCTCCTCCAGCCTGTATTTGAACATTGTATTGTTGGGCTGCTGTAGTAGTTCTTAATTTCTTCTCTGAGTAGAACGTCTTCCTATAATTCTTGCCCTGGCAATCCTCTCCCACTGAAAAACATAGATACTGATTCCTCTTTTAGCAGCTCTTTTGTAGACAGTTTCAAGTTTCTGAAAATACCTGTTACCATCGAATAAATTAACTGTGGTGAGTTTTTATTGTCTATTAGGCATTGTTTTCTACACTATTTGGGATATAAAGATGAGTTGGGCAGGATCTCTGCCGCTAATAGTGGTTTTTGCTGGATTTTCATGATGATAATTTAAATTCTGTAGGTCTACTGGCAAATGGCTGAATTTAGAAAATTATGATATTTATGGTTATTTGCATATTGAGTAAACTTTCTTTGCAGTTATTATTCGTCCAAAGCTTGGGCACCTAATATTTGCCAGACACTTAGTCAACATTGAGAGATATGATAACCATGACACTGCTAGCTGCCCTTATAACGAACACAGTATTGCCAGCTAAGGGAGCCTGTTTTTAGAGGTACGAGGAACAGGAGACAGCCCCATAGGAAGCTAGGTGCAGAGACCTGTAATCCATGTTCTTTTTTGCCTCTTTACTAGCCCATGCTTTCTCCCTGACACCGTCTTTCGTGTTACTATCTGTACCTATACTATTGATTGCTGTGTTTCAAGTTAACTCCTTTTTTAAAACTTCATTTAAAAAATAATTTACAAAATATCACCGTTCCTACATTAATGTGATTCACTGAATAAAATATTTAAGTGAGGTTGGCCGGGCATGGTGGCTCACACCTGTAATCCCAGCACTTTGGGAGGCCGAGGTGGGTGGATCACGAGGTCAGGAGATTGGGACCTGGCTAACACAGTGAAACCTCGTCTCTACTAAAAATACAGGAAAAAAAAAAAAATTAGCCGGGCGTGGTGGTGGGCGCCTGTAGTCTCAGCTGCTCTGGAGGCTGAGGCAGGAGAATGGCGTGAATCCTGGAGGTGGAACTTGCAGTGAGCTGAGATTGCGCCACTGTACTCCAGCCTGGGTGACAGAGCGAGACTCTGTCTCAAAAAAAAAAAAAAAAAATTTAAGTGAGGCTATACTGTATATCAAAAAACTGGTTAATAAGTAGGACAGATACATTAATGCTTCTCAATTTTTATTTTTTATTTCTTTATATCACCTAACTAATGAAAGAAGTTATTCTACATAACTGAGGAACTTCAATTTTTTAAAATATTTTTTATTGACAAATTATAAATATACATTTATGGGATACAATGTGGTGTTTTGATTATATGTTTACAATGTGGAAAGTTTAAATCCAGCTAATTAACATATCCATTTTCTTGCTTACCTATCTTTTTATGGTGACATATTTGAAATTTACTCTCTTAGTTATTTTCAAATATACAATACACTGTTATTGACTATAGTCACCCTGCTGTGCAATAGGTCTCAAAACTTAACTCCTTCTATGTGTCTGAAACCTTGTAACCTTTGATCAATAATCTCTCCATTACCCTTCTCCTTGCTCTCAGGCCCCCGCTCTTGCTAACCACCATTCTCTACTTCTGTGGGTTCAACTTTTTTAGATTCCACATACAAGTGAGATTATGCAGTATTTCTTGGGACTGACTTGTTTGACTTAGCATAACGTCCTCCAGGTTCATCCATATTGTCACAAATGAAAGAATTTTCTTCTAGTGTAAGGCTGAATAGTATTTCATTGTGTGTGTGTATATGTGTGTATATATATATATATACACACACACACACACACACACTACATTTTCTTTATCCATTCATCTGTTGATGGACACTTAGGCTGATTCCATACTGAGGAATTTTTAATCATTACTGATATAATGAATTTTGAAAACTCAATTGATAACTGATTTTTGAGTTATTGACTTTATACAATGACATTAAACAGTCATGGACATTGAGACTGGATTTCATTTTATCCGTTATGAGTTATAGAAATAATACTTCTGCTGTTTATTTTGCTAGTCAACCAATTTAGAAGGCTGTAATTTAACAGCAAGATTAGACTGTTATTCATGTTAGATTTTGAATCTTTAAACTGTTCTGTGAATTAGTTATTCCTCTGTTTTATAATTCAGAATAACTTTCCTTGCTAAGCATTTGTTATCATTAATGGAAACCATTCCTTTTTGGGTCTTTCTCTTTAGAAGCAATGTGTTCACACTTTTTTTCCTTTGTCAAAATTTTATTTTTATAATTTGACACCATTTTTCATTTACCTTCCAATTTGTTTTATCAGTAAAAATGTTTGATTTCCATATGAAAACTAGCAACTGAGAGAAGTTTCTGCAAAGAACTAAAGAAAAAAAAATGGGTTCTGTAGCCACAGGATAATGGACTGGCCTTTAGTTAAGAGAATCTTAGTTTAGCATAGACAGTATATTTTCTGTGTTAACATTGTTTGTTCAGGCAACTGTGTCTGAGATTACTACCCAGCTTAAAACGACTCCATCTGAATGTTTTAGGGACGTCTTATATACGGAGTCTGTTTGAAAAATGGTTCCAGGGCTGGAATCCCTTATACATTGGGAGGTATCACTTCACCTGTAATTTCCTAATGAAGTGTATTCTTCCAGAGAAAACAGCGGCCACCACTGAGTCTGCAACTCAGTATATAGTATATAGTTTCTCACCATGTGAAAGGGCTCTTGTTAATGTTTCACCAAATCTAGGAATTATGTAGAAAAGAGTACTTTTTATTATGAAATATAAAATATATGGAAATTATTACTTTAGTTGTTTTAAGGTAAACAACAGTATAAACAAAAGCATCCCACATGTTCTGTCTTCTTCATAACTCCATCCTCTCTCCTACAAGTAATCACTATCATTGCTCTGACTTTGATGGAAATTGACTCCTTCGAGTTTTTTTCACAGTTTGATAACCTAATATACATTACGTCCTTGAACTATATTGTTTAGTTTTGCCAGTTTTTGTTATTTGGGTGAAAGGAACCATACATTGTGTATTCTTTTAAGTTTAGTTTTTTTTATTCAGCTCTATTTTGGTAAAATTCATCCGTGTGTGGCTTTAATAGTATTCCATGATATGAATATACCACAAGTTTTCTTTTGTTGGCGCACATTTGAATTGTTTCCAGTTAGTGAGTGTTATGAACTGTGCTCCTGTGAACATGCTCGTACATGTGTTATGTTGTGTATTATAACTCCCATTTCTCCAAGGCCTGTAGGAGAGGAATTGCTGAGTAATAGGTTATGTATTTTTCAGATTCACTGGATAATGCCATACCAGTTTGTAAAGTCATTATACCTATTTGTATTTTTACATTACATATTACAAATTTTTTATTTCATCTAATATGGTATGTAGTAGGTAATTTTTAAAAACAAACTTATTACTTAAGGAACCTGAAGTCTAAATTCTCACATATGTATGCACCACTTTAATATTTGTTAGTAATGTTTAGAACCATGGAATTCAAGAATATTCTTAGGTTTTGAGAGGACCCAATACATAAAGTTTTCTTTTCCCCACCCAAGTATAGAAACCATATGTGTTTGAGAGAGAGAAAGAATGAGAGAGGCAAACTCTGGATTCAGAAAGGTAGAAACCAAAATAACAACTTCAGAAATAAAGGAATCTGGAGGGTAGCTTTATATCTGTAGCCAAAAAAGGCTAACACTGTACCACAGATTTATGCAGACTTAACCAGTCAGTCATTGTCACAGCTGGAGAACTACAGGCCACCTTACTGAGATGGGACCTTAGTGCATATTAAATAGAGAACAGAGCAGAATGCATGCTTGTTACAGGCAGGCTGGCTTCAGAAGAGTCTGTGCTGCTCTTGCCCAGTTTCTTTTCCTAAAAATGATCCGAAGAACCTTCTGAGAAACAGGCTTGGAATATTAAGCCTGAAGTCTCTCCACATGGGAAAAATGAGTGTTCTTAACCCTGCCTGCACATTATAACCACATGGGTAGCTTTATACTTGAAAAATACTGATACTGTGCCACTGACCAGTTACATGATATTAAAGGAGGGTGGACAGTAGTGAGAAGTGGGGAGGGCAAGAGCATGGTGGTCATTCCAGTCGTCCAGTGATTCCAGTGGACAGTTAGGGTTGAGAGCTAATTGAGTTAATGTCGCCACTGTGACTGGAAATGGCATTGCACCTATATCCAGGAATGCTTTAGAAAGGAAAGGCTTTAATAATCTCTTATTATAATAATAAATAATAAATCTTTATTGTAATGATCTTTACTTAGATCAGTCCAGTTTAGGGGAAGCCTCTATGCAATACCTGGGGAGTTTCTGTAACCTCTTCCCTGTTAATAGACTTGCCTTCAGAGACTCCATGCCAAAATGTAACAGAACCTGCAGATGCTCTTCTCTGTACGGCTAACCTACAGGGCTTGTTCCCCAGTCAAGAGAGCCTGAGTACATTTCCTCTCAGCAGAATATTCTTTATCATTGCTGAGGCTGTATTGCCAAAGTATCTCTCAGGATTCTGCCATCCATTTCACTTTTTTTCTCAAGTCAATCCATAATTTGCTTTTGTTTTTTCAAATTACTATTAAAACACATTTTCATCGTTAGCACAGGAACTATTTTTTACTGATTGTTTTTATTTAAGGTTTGTCTTCAATTTTAACATTAGCTTGTAGTTATATATTAGCATGTTGACTGATGTTAATAATTGGAATTTGACCGTCTGATCATCAATTTAAATTTCATTTCCATGTTAAGCTATATAATAACATAGCTACACTGTCAAAGTGTATGCATGTGAAATCTGCCTTTTTTACATTTTAAGCAAAATTACGTTTTTCCTCTGTCTTTTATCCTCAGAATGGGCAACAGCTATATCGGCACATATATTTGGGTTGTAAAGAGGAAGACAACGTTCAGAAAAACTATGAACTACTTTATACTTCTCTTGCTCTTATAACTATTGAACTGGCTAATGAAGAAGTAGTTATTGATCTCATTCGATTGGCCATTGCTTTACAGGTATGCTTTCATAACCATTCACTGCAGAATACATTTTTTATAAAGCAGACACCATCTTTGAAGTATTGCCTTTATCCAAGGACATGAATTTTAAAAGGGAGTTATCTAGTTGTAAATCTAAAATACTCAAGACTATGATCACATTCTTCATTTATTCCTTTTACATATGTTGCATAAGCATCAACTTGTGTGCTAAATATCCTTCAAGGCCATAGGGATATACTGTGATGAAGAAGACAGACACAGTCCCTGTACCCCTGTACCCACACTTCCTACCCTGGGGGGATAGTCATTAAATAAGAATGACATACATGCAGTTGTTTAATTAGAGTTGCATAAGTGTTATGTAATAGAAGGACAGTATGCAATGGCTATATGTGCGCGCGCGCGTGTGTGTGTGTGTGTGTGTGTGTGTGTGTGTGAACAGGAAAGGCTTTCCTAGGGAAGAGAGTTTAAGTTGAAAAATTTAACTCTCTTGTAAATGAACATTTATTTTCCTCTCAGAATTGTTTTAGAAAATAACTTCTGATAAAGTGGCATTTTTGTTAGCTTTCCAAACTACCTGCAGTTTTCCAGTGTAATCAGAGAAAATGCTGGTGGAGCATAAGAACTTGATCTCTCTGATGTGTTTGTTTCTCATTAAAGGACAGTGCAATTATCAATGAGGATAATTTGCCAATGTTCCATCGTTGTGGAATCATGGCACTGGTTGCAGCATACCTCAACTTTGTAAGTCAGATGATAGCTGTCCCTGCATTTTGCCAGCATGTTAGCAAGGTAAATGTATTTAGAAAAGTCCTTAAACTGGAATTTTGTACAAAATTGCTAATTTTATTCCAGTGATGATTATTTTTAACTTTGGTGATTATGTATCAAATTAAGATAATTCTATAAAAATATACAGCCAGTAAAATGAAACTACAGCTAAAACTGTAACTACTGTTTTTATATTTTCTTAGATGAATGTTGTTATAATAGTTTAATGTAGTGGTTGAATGCAGTATATGGTTTTCTTCTAGAATGCCTTATGTAATTTATTCTGTGACTTTTTTCCTTTGAACCCTTATGAATCTTGGTATCTAAATTTTCTTAAATTACACTCTTTTGTTGTTTATTCTAAACTACTTGAGGCAGATCTCAAAAGTTGAATAATTAATGTGCATCTCAGAGAATTGTCCTGTGTCTTTCAAATATATTTAGTTTTCTTTAGCAGTAACTCTTACATCGTTATTTGCATAACTTAGTAAACATTACAGTGCCCCCAACTTACCTAGCAGAAAAAGTCCACTTTTAAAGACGTCTGTAAGAGAGAACTTTATTTTTCTTAAATTGGAAGCACATCGTTTAGTCCTTACTAAAATGTAGGCTTTTAGTGTAATCTAAGAAACAAAACTCATCCATTCATTAATCAGATATTTGAGTGAATAATTGATGCCCACCACTAGAGAATTAAGTATTACAAAAGCAGAGTACCTCTTTGCTCACAGTTCATTGGAGGAGCTAGACCACACAAGTGCCTGGAGACCTTGTACACAGGCTGCAAAAGGTAATGCGGCAGGTGGAGGATGGTGATTTGTAAAGCGATTTACAAAATAGTGCATTTGAGAAAATAGATATTCTTGCTTTATCATACTAGGCTTAATCAAATGTAATGTGTCATCATTTTTTGCTTTATATATTATTTTATTGTCACAGTTTTATCTGTTAAATTTTAAAAATAATAAATGTGAAAACAAAACAGACTGTACACTTGGGCTGTAAACTTAGCTTAAATTCAAAAACAGTGATGGTATTTCTTATAAATGTTTAAAGTTGTTTTGTTTTTAAACTGTTTTCCAAATTTTTATAGCAAGGTCCTGAGGGGTGGGATTTTTGATTTTTGTTCTGTTTTTGAATATTTTTTAGGTTATTGAAATTCGCACTATGGAAGCCCCTTATTTTCTACCAGAGCATATCTTCAGAGATAAGTGCATGTATGTTAATCTTTACGTTTTAAGGATGGGGTACTGACTTGATAAACCAATCAGTAATAATTATAAAGGAGTAAATATTGTTATAGTAATTCCTGGTGCTTTATACTAATCATCATTTTGTGTCTGTCATTTAATTCATTTAATTATTTCCCTTGTTATAAAAGGGCCTGCACATTATGGATGTTGACTCATGCACAACATGGAGTCAATCTTGAAAAAGTTTTTTAAGAATAAGATTTGGCCGGGCGCAGTGGCTCACGCCTGTAATCCCAGCACTTTGGGAGGCCGAGGTGGGTGGATCACCTGAGGTCAGGAGTTTTAGGCCAGCCTGGCCAACATGGTGAAACCCTGTCTCCACTAAAAAATACAAAAATTAGCTGGGCGTGGTGTCATGTGCCTGTAGTATCAGCTACTCAGGAGCCTGGGGCTGGAGAATCATTTGATCCCAGGAGGCGGAGGTTGCAGTGAACCAAGATCACACCACTGCACTCCAGCCTGGGCAACAGAGGGAGACTCCATCTCAAAAAAAAAAAAAAAAACCTACCCCACTTTTTAAAAAATGTTGGCTATCTCTCTTAAATGTAGCATATTTTATGTTCTCATATGTAAATGATCAAACCTTTAAGAGAATACGGTATCCTGTTGAAGACGTTCAGTAATAGGTAACAATACTCAAAATATTGTAGAAGAAAGAATGTATTAAGGAAAATCAGTGTTATTTCCTGCATTATTTCTTGTTCTCTAAAGAAAAGTATATATATGAATAATTTTTTGTGTGAACTTTTGGGCTATAAAAGCAGTTTATATTGAAAGCATCAGTAAGATAATATCAAGCAGTTTGAAAGGAAGGTGAAACCTTATGTGGGTGGGCAAGTACTTCCTAACACTTAGCTGGCTAATACGGTTTTCATTAACAGTCAGTGGGCTGCATTTTTATTTTGTCTCTCAGTACACTTTTTTGTTAACATGACAATAAAAGCTACATTTAGTGTTCTTTATTACTTAACAAGTGAAGATCAACAGAATAATATAAGGCTAAATTCACTATTGGAATGTTACTGGGAGAAGAATCACTGCAGAATGGTTAATATATGGGACCGCATACTATGTGTTTTTAAAGAGCTCAAATTAGTTGCCTAAAATATACTGATTTTTCTGTTACTACAGTTTACATTGTGTTTATATTTAGAATATTGAGGCTTTTGCTCTGGAATGTTTTGCATAGTAACTAATTTTTGCTCAGTAATTTAATACTGAATGATTGTTGCTTTGATGAACTTGGCAGGCTTCCAAAATCTTTAGAGAAGCATGAGAAAGATTTGTACTTTCTGACCAACAAGATTGCAGAGTCCCTAGGTGGAAGTGGATATAGTGTTGAGAGATTGTCAGTTCCATATGTACCGCAAGTAACAGGTAAGAGGAGGATAATTAGAACTCTCACTCTGGTGATTGCTTATGTTATAGTAATTTTTTCATTATCCAGTTAGCAATGAAAATTAATTCTGGTGTGTGTCCTTACTATAGCCCAGCCATTTTCAAATGCTTAAGAGTATTTACTTCTGTTTTTTAATTTTGCTATTGAAAACCTTCAGCAAATCTCTAACAACAGAGATATGATTTTACCATGAGCAAATCAAGTCCTTGAATATTTATTGTTATAATACTTAATATTTTATTTAATAGTATATTTTAAAGTGAGATCTTTTCTCATTAAATGATATTCTATTTAAGTTATGGAAATTGATGAAAATTGTTTAATGATAAGTGATTATTGAGGTTAATGAATTAGACAACTTTTGTTATTTGAAAGAGTACAGACTGTTGTTATATAAATAAAACTACAAACTTTTTGAGTTAGGGATTTTTTTTTCTCTGTGACCTATATAGTTCCTTCTATTCTTCCCATTGCCTGAAATAATTCTGTTTGAAGGTAAAATTGCATAGTGTCTTGTATTCAACCTTTACTGTAAAAATTAAAATCAAAGAATTTATGTCTTATGCTTTCATTTTCATTTGGTGACTATATAAGTAGAATTTGTGAGTTAGTTCTTTCTTTGGGGATACCTCTGTTCTACAAGAGAACCATTTGATTTCACTTAGAAAGATTTCTGGATTAGTCACTACAAGTAGCGCAGTCTTTGTAAATGGCTTTTTTTAAACAACATGGATCCAAAATACATACATTTAGTACAGTAATAATTGTTCATAACAGTCTGAGATGTTAATGAGTGCTTTTGCGTTTTCTTTTTAATTTTATGCTATAAAAGATTGTGTTCCTCAGGAACTCCTTGAGGAAATAAAAGTGCTAAGAATAAAACATTATTAGAGCTTTATAATTTAAAAGATTTTAAAAAAATTTAAAATATTTTAACTCTTACAATTTGAATTTAGCTCTCTTTCCTTCAAGCAAAAAACCTCTTAAACCCAGGCACAAGCACAAAGGTAAATCCAGTTGTCAGTTTGGCCTGCCCTTTCCCTCACCTGTCCTCTAGGAAAATAGCTTAATAAAATGTGCCTTTTAGAAAATGGGGCCAGTGGCCTGCATATTTTCTGTAATTAGTTTAATTATTATTTTCCTTTATCTTCCTTATAGCCATAGTTTATTTTTACCCCTGTTATTTCTCTTTACCCTGTTCCTTTAACTCTTAACAATTTTTAATGAAAGCTCTGGTAGTTTTAAAATTTTTAACAAATGGTCTGCACTTCCCTGATTCCTCCCACCCCTAAAAAAGATGTATTCTCTCATAATGCATCTCTGCCAATGACTGAAAGAATTCTGAATGTTTTAGTGTCTACTTAATTGTATAACTGCATAGAAATCCTAGATTTTTCTGATTTGTAAAGACTGATAGTTTAGAACCTGTCTGTGGCGTGAGTATCCTACCTTAATGCAGAAACAGAATAAACAGTGATATTTTATGGGATACTGAATCTGTAATTAAATTACCTTTTGCTATGTAACCATCAGATAATTCATTTAAAAACTTGAAGGGATTTAAGAACAATGTATTAAAATAAAAGGCAGAACATATTTAGTTTGTTGTGTATCATGCAATACCCATCATCATCACAATAGTAGCTACCATGTATTATGCACTGTGTGCTAGGCACTGTGATAAGTGCTTTGTATTCATTTTCTTATGTAATTCTCATAATGGTTTGGTGAGGAAGGTAGCATTATCTTTGTTTACAAATGAGGATAGTGAGGCTAAAATTGAATTAAATGATTAGGTGACACCACTACCAGCCTCTCCAGTTAGTTGCTTAATAAATTATTTGATTTCACTATTTTTCAGGGGCGCAAGTATTGTTCACGCATCCAGAAAGATCCAGATTGATTTTTATCATTTATTTCTCTAACTTCTACTGGGTACCTACAATTTAATATATATCAGGCACTGTTATGACTTTCATAGGGTAGCAAGATGTTAAGATGCAATTCTTATCCTCAAGGAATACAATCTAGTGGGAAAAGCAGATGAATGATTGAAACACAATGATAACTGGATCTAGAGAAAGAATGATGATCTACGTAAAGTTTATTGAACTATTGATGCCTGGCATCCTAATAATGTGGTTGATAAATGTTAGCAGATTGTTGTATTTTACTTTAATCAACCTAGAATTCAAATGAATAGTGTATGTTTAGGCCTGTGCCAAGTACTGCTTTATGAAAACAGTAGTGTCCCCCATCTGAATCATTCAGAGGTATCAGTGGCTTCAGTCAACTCATACAGTTATTTAAATATTAAGTGAGCACCTCCAGTGTGCCAGCTGCTGTGCAAGCAAAAGCCAGAATGAACAAGACAGATAGGTCTCTACTTTCACAGAGCTCACAGTCTCTCTTAAATGTATTGTTCACTTGAACCACAAAACACAGCAGATGATTGGTATTATTCTAGGTGCATAGGAAATAAGTTAATTTCATTATATAATTTTTCTCTAAGAAGATAAATAACCAGGCAATTGTAATATGACTATACGGCTATGATTAGGGACATTTTGGGTCCTCCAATAGCAGGTAAAAATATTTAATCCAGGTTTGGCGGGCCAGGGATGTCTTCCAGAGGAAAAAGCCTCTAAGCTGAGCTTGAAACAGGTGTTAGGCAAGTGAACTGTGCTTCATATGGTAGTAACAACATGTGTGAAGGAATGAGGTAGGCAAGAACAGGATTTGTTCTGTGAATTAACACAGAGTGACGACAGACTTCAGGGAGCGGAGGTAGGAATTGTAAAGCAAGGTGAACTAGTTTAAACTCTGTTCTGAAGGCAGTGGGGAAGCATGAGTGATTTTAATCAGAGGATAACATGATCAGAGTTGCATTTTAGAAATAGTACTTTGGTTGTAATTTTGCAAACTGGGGATGGGGTGACTATTTATTTTGATGGCATGTTAGTCATCCTTAGGAGAAATGACAGTGGCCCATAATAAAGAGGCATCAGTGAGAATATTGATTGGTATGGAGAGACAAGGAGAAAGCCAGGGATTTTGTCCAGGTTTCTGGCTTGGGCGCTTGAGTGGATGGTGTAAAACTGAGGGGACACATAGGATTTACTTACCATTTCATTTGCTTGTTTTTTTGTGTATGTTTTGTTTTTCTCGGAGGGATGAGAGATAAAGCTGGTGTATTAGTCTGTTTTCACGCTGCTGATAGAGACATACCAGAGACTGGGCAATTTATAAAAGAAAGAGGTTTAATTAGACTTACAGTTCCACATGGCTGGGGAAGGTCTCACAATCATAGCAGAGGGTGAAAGACACTTCTTACATGGCAGTGGCAAGAGAGAATGAGGAAGAAGCAAAAGCAGAAACCCCTGATAAACCGATCAGATCTCGTGAGACTTACTATCACGAGAATAATGTGGGAAAGAGCAACCCTCGTGATTCAGTTACCGCCCACTGGGTCCCTCCCACAACAGGTGGGAATTCTTGAGATGCAATTCAAGTTGAGACTTGGGTGGGGACACAGCCAAACCATATCAGCTGGGCTCAAGTGAAGAAGGAAAGAAGTACATATTTCAGCTGAAACTCTCTATAAGTAGTTTTGAATCTGGGGTGATAGAAGGATAGAGTTTTTGCTAACAGAAATAAATAGGAAAAAGTGGCTGGTTTTGGAGATAATCCTCTTGTTGAGTATCTTTGAGAGTGGAGCATGCAAGTAGCTTGAGGCAGTTAGGAGTTAGGACTGGGTTTTGTGTGAGGGTTAGGAGGTTATAATGAAAATTTTGAAAAAAGCACATAGGGGATTTTGCTAAAGCCTTCAGGGAGGATGACTTCTCACAGTGAAGGCATGGAGATAAAGAGGATGGAATGGCTTTAGACGGTTCTCTTTTCCTGAGGAGAGGCCGTATTGGGAAGGAACGTAAAGCCCCAAAGCTGAAAGTCTCAAGAATGTGAAAGGAAAGTAAGGTAATGTTAGAATGTGGGTGCTAGGAGGTTGGGGGGTGAGAAGGCAGCTGTAGAGGAGCTTCCAAAAAGGGAAAGGTAACTTGGCACAAATTGCTGAAGCTTCAGAGAAGTAGAAAATTGATTAAGACCTTTCTTTGGATTTTCCCGGAAGGTGATTATTGATCACCTTTGAGACAACACTGTATTTCCTTTTTGTTCTCAATGATTTTGCCGCTCAGGGATCCCTTTCCGGCCCCCATACTTCTCTTTTCTTTTTTTATTATTGGCTTCAACATGACTCTCTTTCTGCAACCCCTCAGCTTTCATAAATTAACCCAGAAATTCTTTTATAGCCTCCTTTGAGAGAAGTCCTTATTTTTACTTCCGGAGAGACCTTGAAAGTTAGCGTGCCTGGATGCTATAAGCAGATCAGCAGGGATGACTGCATACTGCCTTGGGCAATTCCATTGATGTGTTTATGTCCAGTTACTTATATCAAAGCATATCATTATGAAGGAAAAACAAAAAATGCAGGGTCTAAGTTAACTCAGCAGTAGCCACATGCAGGATATAAAATATTCTCATCCTGAAAATTCTTGCACAACAATGTGTCCTGTTTTGTTGCAGTTGAGTATGTACTGATTCTGTACCTTCAGCCTTCATGCAGTAGAACCTGAGTGACTTGTATGGTAGATACAAAACCCAGAGTCTCACTGAATTTCATGCATGGATATATATGTCAGACATCAGTGTACATGACGGTAGTATAAGGCTGAAGGATGATGGAAGGGAAGTTCATTAATAACCGATAGTAAGTTTTTGTAGCTCAGAAGAAAGAGGGACAAGTAGAAATAATTGGAGAAATATTTAACACTTAAGGAAGCGATGTGATGTTCAAATAGGCCTTGAAAGATAAGAATCTCTATAGTGAGGAGGATGGCAAAGAAAGACAGGATAACGACATGTTTCTAGAAAGCAGATATCCTACAGCATGCACAGAGGTTAGAAAACAGGCATCTTTGAGTTGAACACTAGATTTATTAGGGAAGGCTGAAGTTACTGTTGGTAAGATCTGATGAGAGAGCCTAGAATGTCCTTTTAATTACAAGCAGTTGGGGAGCATAGCTTGGGGAGTTATGTGGTTAGTGTTTTAAGAAGCTTAGTTAACATGGTGGTGACATACAGGTAAAATTGTAGAAAAGTCTGCCATTAGGATGCACTGCGTTACTGGTTCTCAGCTAAGGGTGAATTTTGCAATCTTGGGGAAATTTTTAGTTGTCACAACTGGGACGGAGAGAGATGGGATAGGCCTGTTGGCATCTAGTGCGTAGAAGCTAGGGATGCTGCTGAACATCTTATAATACAAGGGATAGCTTCCCACAACAAGAGTTATCTGGCCCAAAATGTCCATAGTGTCAAGGTTAAGAAACCCTAGCTAGGTTATGCTATAGTAGCAAACAACCCCAAGTTCTTAATGGTTTGAAACAGTAAAGATTTATTTATTGCTCAGACTTGCTGTACATAACTATGCATCATCCACATTCTGGAATTCAAGCTGATGGAGCTACCACTGTCTGGTACGTTACTCATACTGTATTGGCCAGGACTTATTACAGAACCCCTCCTAACCACAGAGAGGACAGGAATTGCAATCCTGTCACATCCCCAGAAAGGGCAAACTGTAATATTGACTAACAGCATTAGTTACAACCATGGAAGGCTACCTGGGAGTAGAGGAGTAGTCAGTAAGAGAGAAACCAGTTTCTTGCTGATTGCTTTTAATTCGTCAATCTTTGCTTCTTTAGTAAAGTAAAATCACAGTATATACAGAATGGAATTAGAAAGATGGAGCATAGGCTGGGCACAGTGGCTCACACCTGTAATCCTGGCACTTTGGGAGACCAAGGTAGGAGGATTGCTTGAAGCCAAGAGTTCGAGACCAGCTTGAGAAAAAAAAAAAAAATACCCCGTCTCTACAAAAAGTTAAAACAAAAAATTTAGCCGGTTGATTCCATGTCTTTGCTGTTGTGAATAGTGCTGCAATGAACATACACGTGTGCAAACCAACACAGGAACAGAAAATTAAATACCACATGTTCTCACTTGTAAGTGGGAGCTAAATGATGAGAACACACAGACACATAGAGGGGAACAGTACACACTGGGACCTGTTGAAGGGTGGAGGATGGGAGAAGGGAGAGCTTCCAGAAAACAACTAATGGATACTAGACTTAATATGTGGGTGATGAAATAATCTGTACAACAAACCCCCATGACACAAATTTATGTGTATAACAAATCTGCGCGTGTACCCCTGAACTTAAAAGTTTAAAAAAATTAACCGGGCATGGTGGCACGTGCCTGTAGTCCCGACTACTCGGGAGGCTAAAGTGGGAGAATCACCCGAGCCCAGGAGTTTGAGGCTGTAATGAGCTTTGATCACACCGCTGTACTCCAGCCAGGGTGACACAGAAGAGACACTGTCTCAGGAAGAAAAAGAACAATGAAGTGTTGCCAGATGATGCAGTAACTCTGTGCTGTTAGGCTGATTCTAGACCTGAACTTCCCTACTGTTTTGGGGGAACTTTATAGGTGTGTCTGGGTATTGTTCTCCTTTGCTCTTCAGGTAGCTGGAGAGGGCCTGGGGCAGTCTGAGCCTGCAATATGAGCAGGCCCTTCCACTTATCTCTGTGTACCATGCATGCATTATAATTTAATATGTGCAGTGAGGTAGAAAACCTTGGGAACTCGGCATTAAGCAGTGGGCTGCATTTGTTTAATAATTCTAATTAGGACTGAAAATGATCTGTTTTTGAAACAACTCTATTGGTAGTACAGAAGGGAGAAACATACTAGGAAGACCCACTGGAAAGCTATCCTAAGAGTTTAGGTAAGAAAAGATGAAGATTTTGAAAGATGGCACTCCTGAAAATAAATAGGACAATGTGGAGATAAAGATGGTTTATTTAGAGATGTGGAATTGGATTTAGAACATGTCAAATAGAATTGATTAATAAGAAATTGGAAATGTTGAACTCAGAAAAGGAGGCGCCAGAATCCTGCTCAGTCACACAAGTATTTATAGATCACCTACTGGGTGCCAGCTGCAACCCTAATAGTACCTGGGAACTCTCTGAGAGAGTTAGAGGTCCTGGGATGTGACCTGGGTGAGTACATTCCTTTTAGGACTGGGAGTAGAACAGTAGCCAACTTGGCATCATTGTCACCCTTCCTGAATTCTCTTCTGCGTCGTAAAGGAAAAATTGGGAACTATGTTTTTTCAGAATCAGAGACTGACAATGAAAAGCGCTCAGAACAATCTGCAAGTAGAAGAGGAGAAACTGTTATCTTTAAAAGACAGTGTAGCATTCAAATGGGTGGATATCGGACTAGCAGCTTCCAGAAGCTTCTTGAGAATTACCGTCTCCATGCTGCAGACTGAGAATATCCGATGGCTAGCCTAACTTTTACTCACTCAGCTTTCCAAGGGTTGAATAAGCCTCTAATTCTATATATTGGAATACACAAAGTGACTTCCTTTTTTTGGTTGTAATCATGATTATTTGATATTCTCCTAGCATCCTGTACTCTCCATCATACTTTAATAATTTGTGTGATTTTATTGTATATTTTTCCTGTTAAACTGGAAGCTGCACGGGGTGTGTAATATCTATTCAGCAGACTGTCCATAACACCTAACAGGGTCTCTAATCATTTCCTAGATTTGATGAGTATTGAATGCTAAAGTAGAAAAACAGAAGTAGAAAAGAATGTATGTAAGGACATTATGATCAACAAATTCAAATGTTCATAAAGTGGTTAAGCAGAAAATGGGCTAGGACTAGCTTTTGAATTTAGTGATTTGGGAGACCGTGGAATTTTATTTAAGAGCACTGTCAGAAGAGTGGTTGGGGTTGGGATTATAATTACAGGACTTCGGCATAGTCAGTAGTGAAAAATCAGAGCAATTTGTTCAGACTGTACAAATGAATTGGGGGCAGAAAAGTAGATTAGCTAGAGCACTGAGGTAAAGGCAACATCTTTCTGGAGAAGTGATCAGTTATAAAGCAAAATAACAACAGCTGATGGAGATGACTGAACGGACAGTGCTGGAGGAGATACTAATTGAAACAGCAATTGCTTTCAGTCCACAAATTGTAATGCACTGTAAACACCTTTAAACATTGCTTCCCAAACTGTCATCCTAGAACCAGAGTTAGTTGACAGCTTTCACTGTTTGGTGAAAATATTAGAGAGATAAGGGCAATATTAATATTGTCAGTTTTGAGTTAGGATAAATGTACTAAGTTTAGATTATGTACTTCCTTTGTTTGCTGTTACACTGACTTGCTTTCTTAAACTATTCAGTAGTGGTGGTGGTTGTTGCTGTCCTAAATGCCCCTTTTTGAAAAATAAAAATCTGATAACCTTATTTCAGTTCACCCCATCAATTTTACTTTTTAATCTGCTTCACGAAATGTAAAAGTCCAAGAACACACTGCTTTATGTATTTAGAAGGAACAAAAAAGACAAACTGTCTTAATTTTTTGACAGTTTTTGAAATCTGAGATAAGTAGAGTTTATAAATGAAAACCAACATAACATTTTCTAACAAATAATGGGAGGAAAACAACTTTATTTCAGATGAAGATCGACTTTCTAGAAGAAAAAGCATTGTGGACACCGTATCCATTCAGGTGGATATTTTATCCAACAATGTTCCTTCTGATGATGTGGTAAGTTACTGAAAGTTTATGGTAGAGTACTGTCTTGGTAGACATCATTTAAAAGAATTTTTTGCCTTCCACACTTTCAAACAGGAGAAAATACAACTCTAAATTATCCTCAAATCAACTAAACTATTAGTAGAAATTAATCTGATTTAGCTTTGAATTTATTTATAGTTTAGTTTACTGAACTCATTTCAGCTGTCTGTAAAGATATATAAAGCTAACATTATATGTTACGATGTTGTCAGATTTCACATTATAATTTAGTGTAAAAGATTTTTTTTTTTTTTAAGAAACTTTATACAAAGCCTGTCATTAAATTAGTGGGCTGTCTAGATCCTACTTATTTTTAAAAATTTAGGAAATGCAAATTACAGAAATAAATATAACTATACATCCTCATGTGAAGCCAAATGCTCACTACCTTTAAAAAGTTTTAAAAGTTCATCTCTAAGGTAAAATGTTTTAATTATTTTGGAGAGTAAGGATGTAGTTTAAGCTGCGTTAGTGAGCTATGTACTCTGTAAGGACTGTGGCTTATTTAAAACATAGATTTCATGCTCTTCTCCCGTTTCAGAAGAACACAAGAGCGTACCCTCCTGAGTTATAGGGGAAAAAGCAGCCAGTATTCTCTAGGACTTATTCGACACAAACCACCAGAGAATTTTTTCATAGTCAAGTAAAAATGCCAAAATGCCAGCATGTCAAGTCAACCTTCACCTTGTGGTTTATCCATTGTCTGCCTTCTTAAGTATTTATTTCTCATTGGTACAATATGCATAATTAAAAGAATATCCCTATAGGGAAAGGGAAAGGAAGTTATCTGAATTTATGCTTTCTCAGCCTCCCTCCTACCCCCTTCCAATTCCTATTGATTTATTTGTCTTCAGGTACTAAACCTATTTGGTGGCCAGAGTACAGCCAACTGACTTACGTTTTCTATGCCATTCAACTCCCCATTACATAGAAGTTATCAGTTTTATTAAGAAATTGTCAGCACGGCATCAAGAGTAGTTGAAGCAGCATTTAGTGTTCATTTTGAAACTCGACGCCTTAAAGCTAAAGTTTCTTACCAATTTAAGGCTTAATAACCACCTTGCCTAAATTCACCTCTTTCTTCAGAGCTATTTAATTTATACACCCCTTACTAGTAAGAACAGTATCTTGCTAGTTCTGTCCTTTTAATGATTATGAATTTGCCGCTATTACCTTTCTAGGGAAGAAGTTCATCCAAAGTCTTAGTTTATAAACTTAATTTTGTTAAGAGTACACTATATGTTATTGACTGCTATTTTCACCTTTCTCCTTTTGTTAACTATTCTTATTTTTTTCAAAAATATATGGAGAACACTTGAAACTGTTGGAAAGAGTCAGTCTATTTTGATAAAATCAACTGAAAAAACATTTGCATAAAGACCCAGTGTAGGGGAAAGATTCTTGTCACAAATCTTACATTAAAAGTCCGTTAATATTTTTATTAACTCTTACAAGATCCTGTTGTTTTTCATTTACTATAAGTCCTAAGTCAAATATGCCTCACACCAAGCATCTGAAAAGTTAAGTACAGTTTAGTATCACATTTACTTGAGCACATTTGAGTTTCGGACTCATTTACCATTGTGGAATCTGCTTTTGGATATTAGAGATGTTTGTTCAAATACCAGAAGACAGAATAATACTATCTTCTAGGCTAAAACTAATTAATTACTTTCATACAACAGACAGAAGAAATTCACATCAAATAGATATTTACCAGTTAATGGTGCAGCAAAATATCAAACTATTTTCTTACAATGAATCAGATAAGAAAATTGCTCATAAAAAATAACTTTTTTATTTGATCAAAATTATTTATAGTTTGTATGTATAATCCTAGTTTATCCTCAGATGTATTTGCTTTTGCTTTTTAAACTTACAATTTAAAAAAAGAGAGAGAGGCAGAAGATTGTTTAGATGGAGACCATCACAAACTTTTGTTTCCCTAAACTCTAGTCTGTTGAAATACCTGGTCCACTTGAGATGTGCCAGTTCTGACATTTGCAATTCCGACCTTGGCCTACTGAGAATCATTTGGTGAACTTTTTCTAAAAATTGCCATAGATAAAAAGATGTATATTATTATTTCTTCTAAAAATGTGCTCATGGCATAAAATGTATTACTGATACTTTTATCATAAAGCAGTTGATTTTATACCTTTTACATATCTCAAAGCAAGAGGGATATTTGAGAGACTCAAGGTAAAAGTTATTTTTAGAGAATATAAATTGGTAATTGACTTTAGAGGAATGCTTCCCAATGCATATATATATCTGTATATATATATATATGCATACACGCATATATATACGCATATATGCATACACATATATACACATGTGTATATATACGCATATATATGCATATATATACATATATATGCATACACACATTTTTATAACGATACCTAATTTAAATTAACATATTCAAGAAGATTATGACTAAAATAGAACAGAGGCATCTCTGTCTCCCGAGATAAAATTATCAGCTTGACTAATAGAATAAAGCACTATAGGCATGATTTTTTGCTTCCTTATATATGCATAATTGATATGAGTAAAACCTGAAATCATCACACTACTCTTCTCTCTAAAAGCTTATAGTAAGTGCTTGATTATTTAAGGGCATGGGTAGGATGTTATATATATTAAATTTTGAGTATATGTTAAATTTTTTGGTACAAAATTAAGTCACTGGTTGACTGCAAAAGATTGTTGTTTATTCTGGTACAAATAACAGATCTTTGTTTTATATCCATGTACTCCTGTCTTTTTTCCCCAAATACAACTGGAGATACTGTGTGTATGCTAACATCTAGTCAATATTAGTCACACTGTGGTGCTAGATGCTATCAAATTACTATGATATTTGTGGAAGTGACATAACAACTACTATAATTAGAAAAAGATGAATGGTAGATTTTATGTAGGCCCAAGGGCATTATATAGTCTAGGTTAGTGTTGTAGATCATAGATAAAGCAAAAGTCCTAGATTATAAAGGGAATGTTGAAATTCCTTTAAGATGGTGCCTTTGCACCACTTCTCTATAACTCCAACATAACCAGTTTTTCCTCTAGAGTTGGAATAGATTGTAGTTTGATAGATCACCAAATAAAGTATGTAGCTTGTATTTACCAGCTATGGTATATAAAAACATGAATCATTAAATGCTAGTATAAAGCAGTTAGTCTTAAAGAAAAAAAAAAAAGATTCACGAAAGGGACAAGTGGGAGATAAGACTGAAGGAACATTATAGAAAGTTGTATACCGGGCTGAGGGCTTTGTATGTAACTTCATAGGAAGTAGGTAAACACCGAAATTTAGTCAGTGTCATTATTAGAAATGTGTTTTCATAAAAAGAATCTCTCAAGTGTGACAAGGCTAAATTAGAAAGAAGAGACTGGAGGTAGAGGCAGTTAGGAGATCCTTGTAATAGTCCACAGTTGATGGAATGAGGATCTAGAGTAGCCAGGCTGGAGGTAACAAAGAGGGACCGGAGGGCAGGAATACTCTAAAGTAGAATGAATAGGACCAACAAATGACTTGAAGGGATTTAAAGAAAGGAGATGTTTAAAAAAAAAAGAAAGAAAGAAAAAAGGTGGACACTGATGGCGTGAGTTGGGGGCTCTTGATGCTAGTAAGCTGCATCATAATTATCTGAATTAAGGCAAACAGGGACAAAAAGAGAAGAGTTAATAGGGTAAGGTATTTTAGCTCTTATCTGAGATTGACAGGTAGTAAGTAAAAATTATATGTATCAAGAATGCTGGCCTTCTGACTTCTCCCATGTTCTTTTTCCTATACTGGAGTTGTATCTCAAAAGTCAGAAGCTCTTAGCCAGTTCTAAGAACAAAAGCAATTTCTTTTTTTCACTGAAGTACTAGAATGCTTATAAGTACAAATAATTGACCAGCCAGAGCCTAATCTTATATGTCTGCTCCAGATATCTAGAACAAAACAACTGAAGATTCCCAAGTTTAATCTGACTTCAACTAGAAATATGAACCCTCAGTAGCAAAACTGAGGGAGTGGAACTCTTGCTGCTTGATTTCCAGCTAAAGCCTTTGTATTACAGAGAAGCTAAGGTGCAGAGAATGAAGTCTTTTGCTTTCGTTAGTCTTGCTGTCTTAGACTTAGCAAAAGAAGCTCATGAGCTAAAATTAGGGATGACCAGATTCCCAGGCAAGTACCCATGTATCATTTCTTAATTTTTATTCAAAGATACTATAGGAACTAGATATATTATTTTTCCTAAAAATGTGCTGATGCCATAAAATGTATTTTTGCCTTTTTTTAAAGCAGTTGTTTTCATACCTTTTTACATATCTCAAAGCAAGAGAGACTTGAAAGACATAAGTTAAAAGGATAGTTTCAGAGATTATAAATTGGTGATTGACTTTAGAGAAATACTTCCCAAAGTAGTGGTTTTTACTTTTCAATCGTTTAAAATCTTAGTTTCACTTTTGATTTGTAAACTGTGTGTGATACCAAAATTATAGAGGCTGTAGAGTACTTAGTTGTTTTTTATCACATGTCTAAAAATGTATTTATATATAATCTCAGCCTTCACTGTCTCAGAGCATCGTTTACTTACAGCACAGTGTTCAGTCAGTGAGACTCAAATCTTCTTGTGCCTCACCGAAGTGGAGACTGAGTTCTGTAATTCAAGGGTGGTTTTGTTGCCTAGGGTATGTTAATTATTGCAGTCTAATGCTAATCTATAGACTTGTTTTGGGGAACCACTGCAGTAGGCCATTGTTAGAACCAGTGAAAAAGTGGAGATTATTTGGTACTGCAGAGTATAATCACAGCTCAGATCAACACAAAGAAGAAAACAAATCTGAAAAACTTCTTAGATGACTTGTAACTAGGTAAAGGTATTATTTATATTGACCCTTTTTAACTCTCGATTTCACTTATAATCACTTTTCTCTAGGTTAGTAACACTGAAGAAATCACTTTTGAAGCATTGAAGAAAGCAATTGGTGAGATATTTTGCACTTGTTAGTACTACCGATATTTAACTTATCTTTATCTGCTGCTTTTTTCAATGACAGAATAAGTAGAGGGGACATTACAAAAACAAAACCAAAAACACTTGGGGGCTTCTATAGAAATGTATCATTTATTTAGCTACATGTTTTAGGCTTCAAAATTGTCTTGTCCCATCAGGGTCATATTCCTGAACAAGTAGACACAATTATGGCAGTGATATAAAAGAAGACATTTATTAATTTACTTTCCCACAAACTTTGGCCAGACCATACATCATCATAAGACCAAGAAAATTCCTTCCCAAATTATGGTAAATAAATGGAAAAGGCTACAACAACATGGTTCCAAATGACCCCGTTCGTATTTCAGTTATTCCACTCAGTACCAAGATTCAATTTAGCAAGTATTTTATGTAGTACCTCATATATGCAAGAACATTGTTATATAAAAGAATCATCCTTCGGGAAGGACCGTGAAGTAGTTGGACTTGTAGGAAGCTCCCATTCCCTTGCTGTTTTTTGGTAAGAGAGACAAAGGCATTCTATGAAAGGGAATCTTGTGCTGTGTAGTACTAACCCTTAGTTGTGTTGTTTTGTTTTGTTTTGTTTTGTTTTGTTTTGTTTTGTTTTGTTTTTGTGCATGTGTTTTCTAGCCTTAAGATATTTCATGGATGTTAGGCCTTTTTATTTTTTTCTTGCAAAAGTAGCCCCGTAAATTGCCTTTAATTTTGGATGATATATCATTAGCTCTTAATGGTCATTGACTGGGTTCTGTGAAATTATGTATTCCCTTTAATGAGTCTTTATAAATATTTATATAGATACCAGTGGAATGGAAGAACAGGAAAAGGAAAAGAGGCGTCTTGTGATAGAGAAATTTCAGAAAGCACCTTTTGAAGAAATAGCAGCACAGTGTGAATCCAAAGTAAGTGAACAAATGGTGAAGGGATTGTGGGTGGGCTGTTGTTTTGTGGAAACTCTTACTTAGTGATTGGTTGATAAGTTCCAAGCTTTAGTCAGATCAATAGAACACAGGAAAATATATCTGATAAGGACTGAAAACTCTGAAGGCGTATCTATGAGGCCTAAATAATTTCTTTGTGTGATGTAAGCTGACGGAAATGGTGGAACTGGTTTCCCAAATTAAATATTAGTGATTGTTATTCTTTTGATAGTTTTTTTCAGTGGTTTTCATGATTTTGCTGCAGGTATTTTGTTTTATGTGTTTGTTGATTTGTTTTTAACATCGAGACTAGGAAAGGGAGAAAAAGACAACCCTTACATTAAATTCTAATAGGTAACACAGATCAAACCAAAATGTTAAAGCATTGTGTACTTAATTAATCAGCTTAATAGTCACAATTACACTTTGTCTCTTAAATTACATTGCTATTATTATATATAGATTCTTAGAAAATAATCCGTTCTTAACATTTTTTTCTTTTTTGCAGGCAAATTTGCTTCATGATAGACTTGCTCAAATATTGGAACTCACCATACGGTAAGGGTTTTGTTACCACAGTAGCAATAACACACATACGCAAATAGAAACTGTCGGACCCCTATGAATTTGTGGTTCATTATGTTTAAGTTATGATGTTAAAGTAATGCTTTGCATTTAGGATTAACATAAGATCATATAGGTGATCCTTTGCTTAATAGTGATTCTGTTTTTTAGGTAGAGTCTGATACCCTTTCTTGACTAGTTGTCCTCTAGCTTTTTAGCTGCTTTTTTAGATTATTCATTCCTTCCTGATGATCTCATAAGGACATCTGGGTAATTTGAAAGACCCATATTCTGGCCGGGCGCGGTGGCTCACGCCTGTAATCCCAGCACTTTGGAAGGCCGAGGCGGGCGGATCACAAGGTCAGGAGATCGAGACCATGGTGAAACCCCGTCTCTACTAAAAATAGAAAAAATTAGCCGGGCGCAGTGGCGGGCGCCTGTAGTCCCAGCTACTCGGGAGGCTGAGGCCGGAGAATGGCGTGAACCCGGGAGGCGGAGCTTGCAGTGAGCCGAGATTGCGCCACTGCACTCCAGCCTGGGCAACAGAGCGAGACTGCGTCAAAAAAAAAAAAAAAAAGAAAGACCCATATTCTAATATTATGCTTAATTAGGAAATTGCTCATATTGAATCGTTTTGTCCTGCAGAAACTGCATTTTAATATGTCAGCCTCATGGTTCTTTTCAGGGCGGTAATAAGTCTACCTATGCAGATAGCTCGTTTGAATTATTGAACTTTCCTTTAGCTTTTTTACATCATATTCATTTCAGTTCTGTTGTGAATTATTGTGCTCTTTGATTATCCTATGTCTGTACATTAGTAAGAAATGTAGCACCTGAAGGAAGGAGAGGCAGTGTGGAAACCTGCTTTTGTGAGAGGCGGCCAGTAGATATGTCTATGCTTCTGGAAATTTTTTCTGTATCTGCCATATCTTTTATATTTTTAGCTTGATTAAGTAAGTCTGTTTTGCTTCAACCCTGTATTATATTAATATTAGATAGGTAAATGCTCTAGGCAACTTGCTTTTTTATTTCAGCCTTTTCTCTGCTTTGATAAGCAAGGCACATTTTTGTCATTATATATCTTATTCTAGACATTTCCCTGCCATACCTGCTACACTCTCTAAGTTGAGAATCACTCATTTACAAAATTTAAGAACAGAAAATCACAATAAAATATTCAACATGTGCTAGAAAAGGGGTCCCCAACCCTTAGTCCAGAGACCTGTACTGGCCCATGGCCTGTTAGGAACCAAGCTCCACAGCAGGAGGTGAGCGGTGAGCAAGCGAACATTACTGTCTGAGCACCGCTTCCTGTCAGATCAGTGCAGCATTAGATTCTTACAGGAGTGGGAACCCTATTGTGAACTACTGCTCATGCAGGGGATCCCATTAGATTCCTTATGGGAATGTAATGCCTGATGATCTGAGGTAGAACAGTTTCATCCTGAAATCATCCCCCCAGTCCCCATCCGTGGAGAAATTGTCTTCCACAAAACTCGTCCCTGGTGCCAAAAAGGTCGGGGACTATTGTGCTAGACTTAGGATTCAATTAAAATTGCTGGGTATGGGCATTTACTTCTTTGATGACTAAATTTCCAACATTTAGTAGTAAATGTCTGCTGTGTACTTGATCTTATGCTACATGGTTTATATCTGTTATTTCTGCTAATCCTCACCATAGCCCTGAAAGGTAGGTAGACACTATTTTGTTCATTTTTCAGGTGAAGACACCAAGGCTTAGAGAAAAGTAAAATAACTTGCTGAAGGTCATACGGCTAGCGAGTGACAAAGTCAAAATTCAAATCCATAACTGATGTTCTTAAAAGGCATGTTGCTAGAGATCACCATATTACATGTAGTCAAACTAACATAATTATATGAATTTAATATTTTAGAGTAAGTATTATAACTAATTCTGTTTCATTGGTACCACAGCTACTACTAATACTTACATTCATTGAAAAGTTACTACTAATAATTAACATTTTTAAGCACCTGTGTTGTTCTAAGCACTGTGCTAAATGTATTATTTTATTTAATATCTGCAACAGACCCTAACAAACAGATAGTGATTATTCTCATTTTACATGTTTATAAACAGATACATGGAAGTTAGGTAAGTTATACAGGGTCACCTATTTAGGAAGCAGTAGCTCTGGAACAGCTTTATGGAGAAACTAAACAAACTTTATAGAAATGTGTCTTCAGAGTTTTCAGGTCCTGTCTGATACATTTCCTCTTGTTAATTTGCCTCACCCTAACCATCAGACAGTGGAAAGAGTTTGTATTCTCCATAAAAGAAGCAGAACACACAATATTATACTTCGCTCCCACTGTTCTTTCATTTACATTTTAACCATACCTGAGTATGGTTAAAAAAAACCAGAAAGGCAAAGAAAAGCTGTAAAATACAGTGAGAATAAGCAGACTCACAGATAACCCAGTTATTAGAATTAGTAGAAAAGGCCCTTAGAACACCACACACCCACACCTCCCACCAGACCCCACACACACATGTCAAAGAATTTAAAGGACAAGATACATATAGTTTGGAAAGAAATGTGTGTGACACTGCTTATTCTCACGATACTTTCCTGTTTCTTTGCATTATAATTGCAAATTTTAATGTTCCTCTCACAAGAGTACTAAAACATAACCAACAAGAAGACAAAAATGCAGAAAGGATATAATATTTGAACCATTTCAGTCAACTTAAGTGGCCTTTAGAAAACACTATGCTAGGCAAATACAGAATATAGTTTCTTTTGAAGTGTACATACAACATTCACAAAATAGAAAAATGTGGGACTATAACAAATGTAAGTAAATATCAGGAAACTGACATGTTAAGACATCATGTTGAGTATGTTCTCTTGCCCCCAAAAAAAAATATGTAATTCATTAACACATATCTAGAAAAATTCAAATGTCTGGAAATTAAGAGACCACCCATATCTTAAAGAAGAAATGAAAGGAGGAATTAGAAAACATTTTAAACTGAAAATACCTATCAAAGTTTTGTAACATGAAGCTAAAATCTTGCTCAGGAGCAATTTTATATCTTGAGATGCTTTTGCTTGCAAAGAAGAGAGATCTGAAAGTAGTGAATTAATGACTTTTGGTAAGACATTAGAGAAAGAAGAACAATGTAAGCTAAACTAAGTATATCAGAAGTCAGTGAAACAAAAAATAGGCAATAAGACAACAAGAAATATTAACAAACGTAAAAGTTTGTTCTTTGAAACAGTTGATAAAATTGGTAAACCTCTAGTCAGTGTTAAGGAAGAAAAAGAGAGAAAACATAGATTACCAATATTACAAATAAAAAAGAATTATAATAAAGGAATGTGATAAAACAATTTTATGACAATAAATTCAACAATTTAGATGAAATGGGCAAAAATCATTGAAAGTCAAAACTAACTAAAATTGACACAAAAAGTAGTAAAACATCCAAATAACCCTCTAACTGTTGAAATAGATTTGAAATTTAAAAGCATCCTACAAGAAAATGCATTTAACTTCACTGCTTACTTTTATCATACATTTAGGTAAGAAATAATACCAGTTTCATATATATTCAGGAAACAAAGGAGGTAGGAACATTTTCTAACTCATGAGGCCAGCATAACTTCAACATAAAATGAGACAAAGATAAAAACCACAATGAGATACCATCTCACACAAGTTTAAAATGTAAATCTTAAGAAGTCGGGAAACAACAGGTGCTGGAGAGGATGGTGGAGAAAAGGAACATCTTTTTACACTGTTGGTGGGACTGTAAACTAGTTCAACCATTGTGGAAAAACAGTGTGGTGATTCCCTCAAGGATCTAGAACTAAGAAATACCATTTTGACGCACCATTCCCAATTACTGAGTATATACCCACAGAAGGATTATAAATCATGCTGCATAAAGACACATGCACACGTGTGTTTATTGCAGCACTGTTCACATAGCAAAGACTTGGAATCAACCCAAATGTCTATCAGTGACAGACTGGATTAAAAAAATGGTGGCACATATACACCATGGAATACTATGCAGCGCATAAAAAAGGATGAGTTCGTGTCCTTTGTAGGGACATGGATGCAGCGGGAAACCATCATCCTCAGCAAACTATTCGCAAGAACAGAAAACCAAACACCGCATGTTCTCACTCATAGGTGGGAATTGGACAATGAGATCACTTGGACACAGGAAGGGGAACATCACCACCACTGGGGCCTATTGTGGGGAAGGGGGAGAGGGGAGGGATAGCATCAGGAGATATACCTAATGTAAATGCACGAGTTAATGGGTGCAGCACACCAACATGGCACATGTATACATATGTAACAAACCTGCCACGTTGTGCACATGTACCCTAGAACATAAAGTAATAATTTTAAAAAAATTATAGACAAGTACCCCTCTTGAACTATAGTCATAGAAATCTTTATCAAAATGTTAGCAAATGTCTAAAACTGATGATATGGCCTAAATAAATGGGGTTACTATGAGGAAAGCAAGATCAGTTTTACATTAGAAAGTTGATCAGTCAGCAAAATTCACCACATTAATTAAGAGAGTAAAGTTGCATGATCACACCAGTAGCAGAAAAAAAAGCATTTGAAAAAGCTCAATGTTCATTTAAGACAAAAATTATCAGAAAATTTGGAATAGAAGGGAACTTAATCTGATAAAGAGTAATTATAAAAAATCTATTGCTGGTGTTATATATAATGGTGAAAGTCTGATGCCTTTCACCTAAAACTGGGTCAAGGATATCTACTCTCACCATGTCAACATTGTATTGGAAGTCTTAGGTAAGTAAAGTGAAAAAAAGGAAAAATATAAAGATGAGAAAGGAAGAAATGAAACTATCTTTTCACAGATGACATGGTTGTATATGTGGAAAATCTTAAGTAATCAAGACAAAAAAAAAAAAACCCTACTAGAGTTATTACATGAATTAAATGAATTTTAGTAAGGTCACAGGATTCAAGGTATTCAAGGTCACTATTCAAAATTCAGTTGTATATCTATATGTTAACAACAAACAATTGCAAGAGTAAATTTTTAAACATAGCATTAAAAAAATATTTAGCCATAATTTAACAGTATGTAAGATTTCTGTTATGAATGTAAAATATGAATGAGAGAAATTAAAGAATACCTAAATGAAGGAGAGATATACCATGTTCATGGACTGAAGGATTAAATATTGTTTATATGCTGTTTCTTTCAAGTTGATCTGTAGCTTCAATAAAATGTCAATCAAAACCCCAACAGACTTTTTTTTTTTTGTAAAAACGTGTAAATTGATTTTAAGATTCAGATGAAAGTACAAAGGACCTGGAGTAGCTAACTGTTTTGAAAAGGAAAAATAAAGTTGAAGAATTTACGTTGCCTAATTTCAATACTTGATTTATAAAGCCAAAGAAGTCAAGACATTATTGATATAAGAGTACACAAAGAGATCAAGATAACAGAATAGAGAGTCCTATCAAAAACTTAAGTGATTTTTGATAAAGGAATCAAAACAATTTAATGAGGAAAAGAAAATATTTTAAACAAATGTCCTGGAACCACTAGATAACCTCAGAGAAAAATACTAATCTTAATCCCTACCTTCCACTGAACACAAACATTAATTATTAAGTTGGGTAATCAATGTCTATGTAAAATCTAAAACCAAAACTTCTAAAACAAAACATAGGAAAGAGTCCTTTCAGTCTTAAAATGAGCAAAAAGATTTCTTAGGACACACAGAGTACTAAACAAAATTGGTAAATTGGTCTTCATGTAAATTAAAAACTTACCCTTAAAAGACTCCAGTAAGAATATGAAAAGGCAGACCACAAACTGAGAAAATACAGTATACACAGTACCGATATCTGATAAAGAACCCCTACAACTGAAAAATAAAGACAATTTTCAAAATGGCCAAGACAGTAGACATTTTACAAAAGGAATGTTTGAATCGCCAATAAGCATGTGTAAAAGTGTTTAAAATCATTAGTTAACAAGGAAATGCAAATTTAAATAGCAAGATACGATTTTGTGCCCATTAAAATGACAGAACTGAGTATATTCACAAAAAGACATGTGAATGTTTATGACAGCTTTATTCATAGTTGCCAAATGTCCATTATCACGAGAACAGACAAATGATGATAATATAATGAAATACTATTCAGCAATAAAAAGGAACACAATTTTGGGGATAAATCTAAAAAACATATTAAGTAACAGGAATCAGACATAAAAAGACAGTTTGTTGGACTGTTCATAGAGCCTGTATAGACCATTTACATGAAGGTTAAGAACAAGCACCACTAATCTTCAGTGATGGAGATCAGAACATAGTTGTTGCATGAGGATGTATGTGTATGGGTATGTCAGAGTGGGGAGAAATTGACTAGTTAGGGACATGAAACATTTTCGGGGTGATTGAAAGTGTTCAGTATCTCTTGAACCCGGGAGGAGGAGGTTGTAGTGAGCCAAGATCACACCATTGCAATCCAGCCTGGGTGGCAAGAGTAAAACTCCATCTCAAAAAAAAAAGAAAGTGTTCATTATCTCTATTGGACTATGATTTACATGGGTGTGATTTACATGAGTGTATACATTTGTCAATTTTTGTCAAACAGTACACTTAAGATCAGTGTATTTCACTCTGTGAAAATTATCCCTTAATAAAAAATTTAAGTGTATTATAAATCTAGAGCAATTCCAAAATTATTAATTACCAAAAATAGATATATCTGGAAAATAGAAGAAAACCAACTGAATAACTTAACAAGTGAGGATAATTTACAGTTAAAAATAATTATATGAAATTAATATCTGTGCATGTATTAAAATGAAAACATTCTTAACCATGAACTAATAAATTCAAAGAACTATATAAGACTTAAATGAAGAAACTATATATCTCTGAAATATGCTTAAGAATATTTATACAAATGAAAACATCTTATTCTTGAATAGGAAGTTGATATAGACATCAGATTTCTGTAGATTGAACTATCATTTTAGTAAGATAATTTTTTTTAAGTATTTGAACAAATGATGCTAAGGGCAATGTGAAAGAATCCACATGCAAGAGCAGTCAGGAAAATGCTGTAGAAAGAAACAAGGGAGCATTTGCCTTGCTTGGTAGAAAAACATATGACAGATCTTTGGTACTTACATCAGGTTGGACCTGCATATGGGTAAGTGGAAGAGAGGAAAATTCAAGTATAGAAGTATCTGTGGTAAAGATAAGATTTCAGATTTTCAAGGAAAAGAGCAACTGTTGAGTTAATCTCGTTTGGACAACTGCTAAACACTACTGACCAGTGAGGGAGGGTTGGGGGAAGATTTCCACTTCACTGCTTTTACCAAAATAGACAACTTCACTCATTGTTTAGAAAAATACATAAAAACAGTAGAATTAATACAGCAGTATTTCTTGTAGTCTTGACATAGAGGGAACGCTGTTCTTAGCATAACTCAAAAACTAAAAATTACAAGGAAATAATTGATTTTCTGGTAAGGTTTTCAAGCATTTGGCAACAAAAAAAGTTGAGAAATAATGAATTAGAGGAAAGCATTTGTATCATATGACAAAAGGTTAGTTTCCCAAATTGATAAGAGAAAAATATCTGAGTAGGATTAGAGGCAGTTTACATTTTCAAAGAAACCTAAAATGGATCCTACAAAGATACTTGCCATTAATAGTAACACAAAAATTAAAAATGAAAATAAGAAAGAATTACCTCCTGCCTCTCAGATTGGCAAAGCTGTTTTAAAAAGACTGACTATATCTAATATTTGTAACAGTGTAAAAGGTACACTGAAAAGCTGAAAGTGTAAATTGCTGGTATTCCGGCAATATGTATGTACCAAAGTCAAAATTTTGAATACACTTCGATGCAGAAATTCTGCTCATAAGACTATAAACCAAGGAGACAACCAGTCAGAATAAAATTATGTATGTGTAAGAACAGACTTGTTAACATTATTATGATGAAAAAATGAAAATGAACCTGCATTTGTTCTCTGGATTAAATCAAGTATGATATATCTGTATAATGAAATACCATGCTATCATCAAAAACATAATATCTGTATACATGAAATAATTTTTTACTAATGAAACAAGGCAGCTTACAAGAATGGGTAGAGTATAATCGCATTTAAAATTGTATATACATATTTTCCAAGGAAAATGTTTGCTTTAGACTTAAAAACAGTTTGACACTACTGTGGTCTGTTTCCCATGCAGCCTTGTAGTTGGCCAGTAACTACAATGTCATTGATCTCTGCAGTTGAGGAGTCTGACTTTGATATTTGCAGATAGTAGACAGAATACTCGGTGACACGAACAGCTTGTGAGTACACCTGCTGACCATGTTCTTTTGTTCTTTTACAGTCCTCCTCCCAGTCCATCAGGAACACTGACCATTACTTCTGGGCATGCCCAATACCAATCTGTCCCAGTCTATGAGATGAAGTTTCCAGATCTGTGTGTGTACTGATTGGCTCATGAAGACCTCAGCATATGATTTGTAAAGCCTAAAAATTACAGCCAAGCTGAGCTTTCAGGGTTTACCTAATGTGTATTAACATACTTCTTGAAAATAATGATGGAACATATCTTTAACCAAATGCTTGGCATACCATATTAGAAGTTTTGGAGCTATATATAATTTCAAGTACTTGCAAAGATAGATTTATGCCATGTTAATTTGCTTTGAGGTTCCTGTTGCCTTTTAAGTTGAACATGTTTTGGTTTCACTTTATTCCACTGTTAAGTAGTATATTTTAAACTTTTCACAAATGTAATGTTTTTTCAAAAGTAAGCCTTCAGAGGATTGAAACTGTATAAATTGTTTCTCTCTTAAACTTATCTACACGGCCGCTTAGATGTAGAATTTTTGTTATTGTTTTCTGCAAAGGCAGATACATTTAAATATATTCCTAGTCCTGGGGCTGTAAAACTGTTCCGTGGCTTTTTGTCCCCATGCTTTAGATAAGCTGGGATAGGCACCCTGCTATTCAGTTACTGTAATAATATGTGATAGGCATTCCTCATCTTCACAATAATAGGACATCTGTTGAATAGCATTCCTCGAAAATGACCCTGAAAACGCCATACTTTAAATTGTCCAGTTCTTGTAATACTGTGTTTCCTGCCAAGAGTTTGACCGTTCTGCTTGAGAAGTGTAGAGCTCACTCTTGGAGTACCAAACTGTGCAATATTTTTACATCATAAGATGTATTAGTTTACAGGCTGTGCTTTGAAATTATAGTAGTATTTTGCTGTGGCTCCATTAATTAAATGAGATATATATTTAGTGCAGAAAAAAGACATTTAAAACAGCTATTAGTTCACCTGTGAAGAGTCTGTACATTTTGATTTCCATTAAGAGTACATTTATTTACATTTGTATATTGTGCATTGTTTTAGATCCTCATAGTCAAAAAATTCCCCAGATGGACTTTTAATTTGTAAGATTTGAACTGTGACTTGTATGCGTCTGTTTAGAATCAGTTATATTATATTTGAAAAGCTGCCTGTGTTTTAACAATCAAGTGTGCTAAAGTTCGTCAATTTAAGCTGCTTTTGATTTCAGCTACCAAGATCACAGGTGCACCCTACACATACACTGACAGACCCATAACAGTACTCACATCTTAGTGAATTCTATCACGTGGTAAAATGAACAGCTTTCTTTGTAAGTCAGAAAATTCTCTTAGGACATTTTTATAAAGTCACCTGTTTATAGTTCTATCTTTTCAGATTCCATTTCTTTTTACATAAAACAGCATACATATCAAAAACTGTAGCCTAGAAGAGAGTTTAATTTTTGGCTTTTGTTTTTGTTTAAAAAATTGCAGTGAAGAATGGGATGTTTGTGTTTATGGCTATTTGGGCACCTGTAGTAGAAACAGAAAAAAGTAAGGAAATGATAATAGGACAAGCATACTTGAAAATTTCTGAATATTTAAAGAAAAGCGCAACATCTTGAAAACCAGTCTAGTCTTTGAAACGTATGAAATGACACTGAAAGATCCTGGGCTGCTGCTTAAATGTGGATCAACAAGATTTGTTTCAGAGTGACAGTGGAGTCGTTACCACTGGAGGACTGAAGGGCCCTGTGGCAGTTGTCACTGGAACTTTGCCTCTTGATCAGGTAAAATGCTACACCAGTCAGTAAAGCCAAGTTGTATTTTTTTTATTGCCCTTTTTTCCTTCTGTATTTTTAAAGAAGGATGTTAATTTTTGACTATATATTTTAAAAAAATCTAAGCAGGGGGACATGCAAAAACAATCATCATCCACTTGGATGTCATTTTATAGATTAACACTGTGTGCTTTTGTATGGAAAAATATATATAATTTAATAGTATAAAAAGTAAAATATTCATTTGCACTTCTGTGAAACACAAACTTTGCTCTACAAAATTTCATGTTTCTTAGTGATTTTAAAATGCATGTATTGCATGTAAAGGAAAACCATTACAATTAATGTTTATCACACCTTTATCTTGGTCTTTGTTGATTTGGGTTTTGTCGGGGTTTTTGTTACTGTTTTTAAATTACAGTAGGCTTCTTTATATCCTGGATTTCTGAACTGGTCTTGTTGACAAGGATTCCCAAGAAATGGATCTGTTCACTGGCTGCCTCTCCCATATCTGCAGGAGATTCTGCAGGAACGAGGTGTGCACATGGTGTTGTAGCCAGTTCAGGTAGTGAACATTTAGGATTTGGTGAAGTTCACTGTATTGCTATATTTTTGTAGATATATAAAACTCAATAAATTGTTAATCATTCTCTTTTTGCTGTATTGAGTTGCTTATATCACTCTTTCTTTCATGACATTAAACAGTTAACATTTAAATGTTCCTCCTGTACTTGTGTTGTCTGTGACCACTTACAGAGTTTTATTGTTATTGGAGTTTACCTGAATACCTATGCGCACACACCCACATACTTCCTTAATATTTCTGAACTCATTATCTTTTAGAATAATAGTACTACACTTTACCAGCAATTAACTTCTCCCTACCCAAAATGTTTTTCTTCCTGTCTGAAAATGGAATTAATTTGTCTTATTCATGCTTATATCTGTATTAAATGTAATAAAGTTAGTTTTTGAAATGTAAAAATTCACTGTGCAATTCGTATGTAAGCAATAAAACATAAATCAGATTACTTGTATTTAAGTTCATTTTTTATAATAGCTATTGTTACATTTAATTAAATTTATTCAATATTTGCTTAAATTAAAAATGAAGAGCTTCTTTTGAGCCCAATAGTTCAAGGCTGCAGTGAGCTAGGATCATGCCACTATACTCCAGTCTGGTTGACAAAGCATGACCCCACCTCAAAAACAAAAAATGAAGAGCTTTAGTAGAAATCAATTTGCCAAGTGGATTCATTCCCATGTACATTGGAATATCAGAATGATAACTGCTAGTCATGACAAGACATAGTAAGGTAAAGTTCACAGTGTGTGCTTGTGAAAATGTAGTTGCCATCTCTGTGTCAGTCTTAATGATTGTCTTTTCAACCCTACCTCTTTGTCGTATAAATTACACAAAGCAGCTCTTAAAAAATAAAAAAAGAGAGAGAGAGAGAGATATACACACACACACTCTCAGTACCCTATCTCTCCCAACCCCCGGTTTGCTTATTCTACCACTTACACAGATGTGCTTCATAGCCTGAACCTCCTTTGTTAGGCAATGTAGCATAGCGGTGAGGAGCTCCGGCTCTTGTTCACAAATTCAGCACCACCACTACCTGGCTGAGTGACCTTAGGCCAATGACTGAACTTTGATCCATGAAGTTCTCATCTGTAAAATGAGTATGGTAAATTCTGCTCTCCAAGGTTAGCTGTGAGGAGTAAGTGAACCACTTAGAAGAGGTTCCCTGTGCCACACCTACGTGACACAGAATAAGCATTCAATAAGTGATTAATAATCATCCTTAAGTTCACTACACTGGGACATAAGCAACTGGGCAGCCCTCAGCTCTGCAGTCTTAGGCCAGCCATTCCACGTTTGTGAACCTGTTTGCATGGGTATAAAATGAGCACGGTGTTTACTGTGCTATCCCATATACTTTCCTTCCAACTCTTGCTGTAATCCTGTTACCTGTTCTGTCATCTGATAAGCTATTGATCTCAAGTGCCAAGTTCAAATGAAGTTTTAAGCAGAGGCGAGGTGGAACATCAAACTCTGCCTCTTAGTTTTGCTGTATTCAGCCTTTTACCTGTATGTTGAATCAGAGGCAAACTCTTAGGAAGGTACTGTCTTAGCCTAGGTTTCTCTAAAGCAGAGCCTGAGACAAGAGTATGTGCAGGTATTACTTTCGAAATTGATCTAACATGGAAGCAGAAAAAGCCGGTTAAGAGGATTTCTTGATTGCCTATCACTTGAGGTGCCTGCATAACCATTCCACTGGACATTCTAAGGAGTCTCATAAAAATATAAAAATAATCTCAAAACTTCCCAGGGGATGAAGAATTGGGAAAGCATCTATTATTTGGCTTCTGTTCATGGCTGAAGGTGGCCCTGTGGTCATTAACTCCCCCACATTTTTGGACTGTTTGTGCTTGAGTGCTGAACTGTTACCCCAGGTTTCCCATACCTCTTTCTCGGGGAAGTCCTGTGCCAAAAGGCAGGAAGTACAGCAGTACAGCAAGCACGCAGGCATTGCCATTCCACTTCTATGAGGCAGTCAGAGTCTGTGTGGAAACTGTTATCACAGCAGGGTCTGAAGGGATATGTGAGGATTAGAGGATGTGAAGTCAAGCAAAAGATGTCCAAGATAGCACCATCTAATCTGGTATTTAAGAACAAGACTAAATCTGGGAGCATTTGGTTTATAATTTCATGTGTCCCCCATCTTGCTCACTGGTTTTGGCCATAATACCTCTTGCACTGTTCTATTTGCTGACCCTTTGCTTTTCTTATCCTACTTCACCTGCATAAAGGTTACAGCTGTACACGCGTACGATTCCTGATTTAAAAGACTTAACAGCTGAAAGAATCTTAGAGTCAGGTTCATTCAAAGCTTACATTTTACAGATGAGTACATTGAAATTCAGACTTAAAGCTGACAGTAGTCATTCACCAACTAACTTTAAACTAGTAAACTTCTCATTATGACATCAACTTTAGTGTATCTGAAAATTAGAAATACCATTCCATGCCCTAATATAGCAAGAAAATATAAAAAGTAATCATCTCAAATATAATTGTAAGTGATCTAAATGAATAAAGAAATTGAAATTAGGGATCCAGGGCATTCAACTCAGTCCATAGTAGTCTACTTTTAAAAAGAAAAAAAAAAAAACCGTTTTACTGAGATATAATTCACATACCATAAAATTCACATTTCAAAGTGTACAGTTCAGTGGCTTTTAATATATTCACAAAGTGAAGCACTGATCACCACTATCTAATCCCAGAACACTTAAATCACCCAAAAAGAAACCGCATACTCCTTACCAGTCACTCATTCCCCTTCACCACCAGGCCCTGGCAACTGCATTTCTCTAGGGACTAATAATGTTGAACATCTTTCCATGTACTCTTTGGCCATTTGTATATCTTCTTTGGAGAAATATATATTCTGAATCTTTATTTTTTATGGAGTTGTCTTTTTTGGTTGTAGCTTCTTGTCCCTAGTCTGCACTCTTTCCAATTTTTTATTTTGCTGCCAGATACATCTTTCTGAAGTGTAGGAAGCACTGCTTAAAATAATTCTCAGACTTTCCTATACACAATAGGACCCAGACTTCCTTGCCCAACATTATAGGGCTTCCATCATCGTTATAACACCAGCCTTTCTGCTTCCTGAGGAAGTGACTCTAACATGAGTCCTGTTTTGGATGTGTTAAATTTAAGATGCCTGGGGAGCATCCAAGTAACATATACTAGCATGAGGTTGAATATTCAGGGCTGGAATTCAGAGATTTGGTACTGATTCAGAAGTGAAAAGCACATTGACAATAATTAAAACTGAAAGTGAATGAGTATGACCCAAGGAAGAGAGGGTTTGTGACTTGTGAAAAGCTGCTGGCCCCACATAGACACCTGGGAACACATAGCTTTAGAAAGAGGGGCTGCGAAAGGGACCAAGAGAAAGATACCAAGAAGTTAGAAGAGCTGCTTGTTCGTGTGTTTGCCCGTTCCCTTTTTCAAACTATTAGGATTTGAAATCTAAAAATGCCCTAGAAGCCATATAAACTCAAAGTGGAGTAAAAAGTCTTTTTCTCCACCCATTATTGATTTATACTGTTGGGGGAGAAGTTACCATCAGAATCCTGTAATCTCAGGGAAAGTATCACCTTTAAATTCCCTTTCAGGTCCAGCTTTTTGTAATTCAGTCTACAGTGTAGTGCTATGAAGACTGTTTTCACTGAGTCAGACCTGGAATAATGCTTAGGAGTCATCAAATCTAACGTCTTCACTCTAGCCTTCTGGAGCAGAATGGGACTGTCCCCTCCCTCCGCTATGCAGCCAGCAAGATGGGCCCAAGGGAAAAGACGTGAAATGAAAAGTGATTTAGGAAACTAAACAGGATAGAAGCTGGTGCTTACTCCAAGACACACAGCGGAGAATGGGACATGGGGGGACTTTTCAATTCTAGTTCAGTTAAGCACTGTCAGAATCATCTCTTAAAACATAAGTTCACTACTTCTGCCTAACAGTATTTATAGGGAGAACCATTAAAGATTGTTAAGCAGAAGCAGTGAACTTGATGTGTTTTAAAAGAACCAATATGCTCACTTCTTAGCCAGACACTCAAGGCCCTTCACAATGTAAACCTACCCTGCAGATTGTTAAGCATAAACCCAGAATTTTTTGTAAGATGGTATTTTTACCAGGGATCTGGAATGCCTGAATCCTGCCTTTACCAGTCAGCCAACCAGGGTGAAATTCTTGATAAGCTATTAACATAAAACAAATGTACTTTATTCCCCCATTATCTGCAGGGGATATATTCCAAGATCCCCAGTGGATGCCTGAGACCGTGGATACTACCAAACTCTATATACCACTATGTTTTTTCCTATCATACACACCTATGATAAAGTTTAATTTATAAATTAGGCACAGTAAGAGACTAACAGCAATAAGCCCATAGAAAAATTAATAACAATATACTTCTATAGACATAAAATAAGGGTGACTTGAACACAAGCACTGCAATACTGCAACAGTCAATCTGATAACTGAGATAGTTTCTAAGTGACTATTGGGCATGTAGTGTCTACAGCACAGATATGCTAGGCAAAGGGGTGATTCACATCCTAGGTGGGATGAATTGGGGTGGTGAGAGATTTTATCACACTACTTAGAACAGTACACAGCTTTAAAACTCTGAATTGTTTATTTCTAGAGTTTTCCATTTAATATTTTCAGACCTGAATTGTCCACAGGTAACTAAAACCACAAAAAGCAAAACTGCAGATAAGCGGGGGACTACTGTAAATATAAAGCAAACTACCAGTTTAAGCTGTACCTGACAGACACTGCTAGACACCCCTTTAAAAAGCTCTCCATAAAGGCTTCCTAGTCCAAATATGGCTCTCCCTGGCAGGACTTTTCAGGAATCTAGACCTACTTCATTCTCAGTACCTGAGCAGCTGGTTGTTGCTGGTGAGATGTAGACCAAGGGAGGTAGAGCCAGGAGAGTGTATTGATGGGTTGAATTGGGAAGATACAGGAAAAGTTTCCGAGGTTTTAGGACAGATTAAGTTTGATGATTGGCTGTGTCATTCACTAAGGCAGGAAGAGTGGGGCAAGAGCAAGTTCATAGTGGGAGAGGATGCATCAGGCTAGGAATCAAGGGGTTTGTTTTGGCGAAGTTAAACTTCAGATGCTTAAAGACTATCAAGCAAAAATCCAAGTGACTATTCAAATATACGAGTTTGGAGTCATGGAAAAGGTCAGCATTTGAGCCATAAATATGGAAATCATCAGTAGATTGCATGAAGAGAGAAGAGAATACTGACAAAGACTCTCTCCTTGATCAAGGAGATCAAGTCAGGCTCCTCTGAGCCCTCTTCTCAAGTAGGCCTCAGACTAGGCCTTTGAGAACTTCCACTCTCACCACAAACAATTTTGTCCACTCCCCACACTAGGAGTCTTGA